CTCCGCCTTCAACGCCCGATACTCATTATCTGTGCGCAGAACAGCATCACGATTCTCAATTGCCCGACGAAGAAGATAGGCCAGACATTCACCCATACCTCCCCAAGTGGAGCATTTATAAACTTCCGGTGTTCCATCGCCATCATTCATCTGAAGCAGCGAAAAGCTAACCTCATCGGACATCCCATGGAGTTGGGCAAAGCGCACAGGCACGGTGGGCAATCCGGACATAACACGATGCTTATGGAGCTCGTGAGCAGCAATCACACTTTCCTTGTTATGACTAGCCAAAAATAGATTCACCGAGGGGAATTCGCGGGTACCCTTATCTCCGAATTCTCCGATATTCTTTCTCAGTGCCCCCTGGGCAATCATATTATATGCGTTGTCGGTGTCTTCCTTCGTATCATGGATCAGGGACCGTTCATCCGTGGCCATGTATGCACCCCTCACGAGTTTGAGACCGAGGGTAAATCCATCCTCCTTTGCCGCAGCGAGATGGTTGGCTAGTGTCGCAGGTGTGCTTTTGAGGTAGGCCTGGTATGTATTGTAGATGGTGGAATAACCGTCGCGATTGTATGTGCGCATAAGTTCTAAAGCAACCCGTGCAATGCCCTTTTGGAAATGCTGAGACTCGGCGTCGACGAGGATGCGAACCTTTCTACCTTTGGCCTTGGTGCAGATCTCATGCAGGGCATCCATCATCTGCTTCGGGGGCAGCTCTCCAGCGGCAAAAGCCTCAGTGACGCTGACGCCAGCACCTGTCAACCTTATGAATGGTCAGTTGTTATTCCATGAAAAGGTGGGTTCCGAGTAACTTACTTGACTGCGAGGTAATCTTCTGCCTCCGTCATATAGATAGTCTCAACTGTCCCTTCCCGCCAAGCTTCGATGCTTGGACATTGGTAAACCGCACCATCAGCAGACACGTCCCCTTGCTCGCTCTTCAAAGCAGCAATGCCTTTTCCTTGCTGAGCTTGAGTACTATGATCAAACACAGTCTCGGCAGCATATGTCAAAATCATACCGCGGAAGCCCATGTCTTTCATTTCGCGGATGGTGGATCTGCATTCTGCGCCATTCTCTCCGGCACAGAATTGATTATAGAACGTTTTCTTTAATATTCCATGCAGGAGCGGATTCCGATCCACATCGAATAGCCAGATCCTATTGGGCTTGGAGAGGAAGGACATCAACGAAAGCGCCGGGATGAGGAGGAATCTCTTCGATGATATCGTGGAGACGAGCAGAGATCTGAGCAAGACACGCGCCGGTAAAGCAGAGAGGGGTGGCAGTTTGGGGCTTGGAGCAGTCTTCACTTGTGCTTGTGCGTGTGCTTGTAGCGTTGAGGTAAAGCGCAGTGAAATTGATGTATTCACATTGCTCGTTGGCCGAGTGCATCGCGCAAGAGCCGTTAGAGGCTTCCCAGGAAGTACAGTACTCATTTCTTTTGGGTTATGAATTCTGACTTCTGATCATATGAAAATAGGCGAAGGGACCAGCTTCTTTATGCTTCATTATTGTTCCCCTCGTATAGAACCAGATAACGTCTCGGACAGGCGCCCGGTGCCTTTGATAACTGATGAAACCCTCCATGCGGGGTGATTATCGCTCGTTCTGGTCAGTATCTCTACAAACAGTAATACAACCCGGAGAGCTTATTCGAAGGACTGGTCCTATTGGTGATCCAGATAATTCGGTCGTGGAATGTCTGCACGGGAGACTCGCCGGTGGCGGGGTTACTTGTCCATGTTATCAACGGTATGCCTACCGACAGCGCCTATTTTGGTCTTTATCAAGTGACACAAAGATAGACTGAAGTGTGCGTTGTCATTGTTAAGAGATGGGTTCATGTTACTATGTGGGTTATTGATATCTTTCTAGAATGACAGAACGGTCCATGTACCATCTTCACCAGATCCGTTCTGAATATGTACCATATTTCATCGGGGGATAAACTGAAAATCGCTTCATGTGAGATATACAGGATTTAAAAAAAAGTAAAATAGAGCCTATAGTATCACTAAATTGGAATTTTTCTCATTTTGACACCGCGGCAATGTACTGGGTGGTCATGACTGGGGTCTTTGAGCACTTCTTAAATCTCATTTCCAGCCAGAATTTAGCATATTAACTAGACCTATAATTATAGCAATGTCGAATTTTTCTTTTTCATAAATAATAGCGTTCAGTGTGGAAAATTATTTAGCAAAATCATACCCAGGGGATATTTTAAGAACTGAAAACCGACTAATTTCTCAAAGTATAGCGTGCATATATCCCTAATTCACTTCGTGCCCAGGAATCAGTTATCGTATACACTCCATTTCTTCTAATATATATACATATATATTTTATAGAGACAAAGGAAGAAGACATGTTTCCAACCATCCCGAGCCAGCCATTCCGAGTCAGCCATCCCGAAGGTAACCACTGTTCAACTATTGCGCTTATTAGGAGGAAAATTCATTCATTCCTAATATATACATATATATATGCAACTCTTATTCCATTCTTCAATATCCCTGGTCTTCAATTTCTAGCCACTTCGGGTCTAACAAAATCTGACGCTACTACGTACGCGTACTAGACAAAACTCAAGACCACTACCCCACAAACCCTTTTTATACATATTCACTACTCTTTACTATAGAAGCGACTCTTCTCAACATGTAACTTTTAATGAGTCACAAAAAGGCCATCTAGAACCTCTTCACCCGAGGTCTTCTCCATGTCGGATGAAATCGGGAGATTAGGGTTCAACAAGGCGCGATCTTCTCCTTGCATAGGCGTCTTTAATTTAATCTCGTGGAGTTGGTGAAGCTATTACCTATCATACACTGTATATTGTAGAACACGAAATCCTCAACAATTGTTGTTGGTTGAGTCATAGTCTGCGTTCTGCATTGTAGGAAACAGAACATCCATGGCATAAAAGACGGACAATTCTGTTGGAATTTGACTCCTCAATTCTAGAATGAAAACATTTCAACTCACTTTATACATATCTAATTCTTCTACCTTTTTCTTCGCTGATCATGAAGCTTCAAACAAGTATACCTCGTTTTGCCCTTGTCCATACTCGTCTTCAGCACAGCGCAATGTTCAGGACAGGCACTATGTCATATTCCCAGCCAAGCAGGTATACCAGGCTCTCTACTTTGGTGCCGACCAAGAGAAATCACACAACAAGCACACACATCGGCCAAAAGTCATCATGGACCCATCCAGTGTATGTTCAATTAAAGTGCCTCCTTGGAGGAAACCTTTCCTTCACCGTCCCTTATAATAAAAAGTTTCGTATCTGACATGTATCACCTTTCGGCTAGATACACAAAAGAACAGATTCTCGCAGTCCGAACCGCTCATCGCAAAGCACACACCTGGCAAGACAGAGCAGCTCTCGGAACCGTGCGCCTCTTACGCTGGGGTATGGATCTCGTCTCCGGATATCACACACGACCAACAAACAAAAACACACTCTCCAAAGCCCATGTAATGACCGAGGAGAAATGGATCACGAGATTCGTCTTCTTGGAAAGTGTAGCCGGCGTTCCAGGAATGGTAGCAGGGATGCTTCGGCATCTTAAGAGCATCCGGCGAATGAGGCGAGACAACGGATGGTGAGTGAATCCCAACCATCTCCTCCATACTGGACAGAAGATGATCTAACATCGCATACAATACAGGATAGAAACCCTCCTCGAAGAAGCCTACAACGAACGAATGCACCTCCTAACCTTCCTCAAGCTCGCCGAGCCAGGCCCAACAATGCGATTCATGGTCCTGGGCGCGCAGTGGGTATTCTTCAGCGGATTCTCCCTCGCATATCTGATCTCGCCTCAGATCTGTCATCGCTTTGTGGGATATCTAGAAGAAGAAGCAGTGATCACATACTCGAAGGCTATTCTCGACCTCGAGAATGGGTATCTGCCTAGATGGGAGGGCTTGCAGGCTCCCGAGATGGCAATTAAGTACTGGCAAATGCCAGAGGGACAACGATGCATGCATTCATTGTTGCTGTATGTTCGTGCTGATGAGGCGAAACACCGTGATGTCAATCATGCTTTGGGGAATTTGGATCAGAATACGGATCCAAATCCTTTTGCTGCGAGGGTTAGGGTTCAGGTTCAGTCTGTTGCCAGTTCGGCTGGTGGTTTGCAACAGCTGGAGGGAAATAGTCGGAAGGAAACTTGATTGAGGAACTTCTCTCGGTTGTTGTTTGCTTGATCTTCGGTCACTGGTCTATCACCAAATCGGGTTGTTCATGAAAAAGCAATTACTAGGGCTAGTGCTCTACCATATTATTGGATGTTAAGCATGTCGATACACTTGCGTGAGTTACTAGATATCATTAGTAAATACTTCCTTATCTACAAGCTTGGATCAAGCCCAATGTTTGCGAATGGCACTGCATATGCATAAGGTGTTCGATAGAAGGCGGATGAGCTGCCGAGGCTTGCCGGGAGGTGGTCCCGATTGAGGCCTAGACATAGAACTAGTCAGCGTTGGTTGTATAGAGTTCTTTCTGGGAATCAGCAGACCATTCCGGTCTGGTTGACTGGCTTTTGGTCAAGTCATGAGGGCATTTGGTATGTAGCGGTGTGGGTTTGATTCGCCCACAGAAGAGTCTAGCCAAATACGCAGCTTCGCTAGACGATATAGGAAATACTGCAAAAACATCCGAGAAATATCCTAGAGAAACTATAGATGCTACGCATTTTAAATATAGGATATTCCATAATCCTAGATATGTGGAAGAAACCCAAATGATGCCCAAGTAATACCATTTGTTTGGGATAAAAGAGTAGAGATATTGTAAGTACATGCAGGAGAATGCCACACCAGAAACAAGAGGCCTGATAACCCAAGCCATGCAGAGATACATAGCTGTGATTCTTAGGGGCCGAAGAAAAATGCCGTGGGTCTGGACGCGTCTGCATTGTGAGCTGGAACCGAGATAGGCGACAATAAAGTGTCCTAGAGAGATTCCATGTGCCTTTTCAAGCATATCTTTCCATTGAGTCTGCAAATTTGGAATCTGCGGGTCTACGCATGCTACGGTGCCTTAACAGGCCCCGATGCGCGGACCGGTCAGAGGAATCCGGTTCAGTTCTGCGCCAAGCCTTATTTTGGGCATCCATACCGGGGGGATTGGGTCCGGAAGTTGGTGCGAGCCGTGGTGGCAGGGCGTTTTCAGTGATCAGCCATTATCAAACAAGGGATAGGCTATCACGCTGCTAGTTTGGTGAAAGTCGTGTTCATTGCCGGTCAATGACTGTGAAAGTAATCGAGACCATGACAGCAATGACGGATGGCAGGAGATGATATCAATTTCAAATGTAGAACGATCGGTGGGGCCTAATAACTTTGCGCCGATACCGCCGCAGGCTGGGATTTGTTAGCTATTCGTTCAGGAAGATACGGGATGCAGCAGGTGCATAATTTGCAGGCAGAAAGATCGGTAGTGTTGCACGATGCAGCAACGATCACATGGGGGTAAATCCAAAGGGGGGGGGTTCCTTACAGGACTGTTCAACATGCTGTTGCGCTTGTTTCGGCCCTTCTTAATGTGGTTCTTCAGGGCGGTCGAGTCCAAGGGTTTGAGAAGTTCGAAGCTGCAAAGAAGTTCGCCAGAGACTGACATGATAGCGCCCCAGTTATCAAACTCGCCACAATACTATGAAAAGATCAGTATGAGTCGATGTAAAGGACAAAAGAAGGCAGCTTACGTTGGGTGCAGAAAACACAGTCACCAGAATACGATCCTGGTAGAACTCGTACCCATCCTCAACCACCATGTGAGCACGGCAAACCAAGTCGAAGTCATGACGCTGCAAGAAGTCCATGATCACCTTCTTTCCGAAGCAGTAGCTAACACCACGCTCATTAGGTTCCCAATCTTCCTCCATGTCTGCCGGGTCACTCCATAGGAGGTCGTTCAACAGACCATAGTCCGGTACATCAGTGGGGCGGGCGATGCCGCGAATGTCGTCCATATGCGAGAGACTAGGAGAGAGACCACCGTGGACGCAGAAGATTTTGCCGGCCACAGTCGCAGCAATGGGGAGACAATTGAAGGTGTCGATGAAGGTCTTCCAGACCTTGATGTTGCAGCGACGCTTGCACTCATCATAGAACCCATATACACGGGTAACGTTGGCGCACTCATGGTTTCCTCGAAGTAGGAAGAAGTTCTCGGGGTACTTCAACTTATAGCACATCAGCAGAAGGATCGTTTCCAGACTCTGCTTGCCTCGGTCGACGTAGTCACCCAGGAAAAGGTAGTTGGAAGCGGGAGGGAATCCACACATCTCGAAGAGTCGAATGAGGTCAGTATATTGACCGTGAACGTCGCCAACAATCTTGACGGGAGCCGACAGCTCCAGCAGAGCAGGCTGCGACAGGAAGAGCTCGCGAGCGGCGGTACAGATGGCGGTAATCTCCGCGTTCTTTAGGCAGACTGTTTTGGTAACCTTGCTGGAATAACCAGCATCTAGGAGTCGCGAAATCATGTCGTCCAAATCAATAGATTTCAAAGCGCCCATACCCATACCAGGAGATCCCGAAGTCTCAAGTGGAGCGTTCAAGATGAAGTCCAAAATGGGGTTCAGTTGGTTCTCGCGTTTCATCAAAATTGATTCACCGGGGACAGCGGTGGCCCCAGACGGAGGGCCACCAGAGGGAGGGCCATCTGACACATGGTCGACTTCGCCACTCTGCTTCATCGCGTTCACATCCTTGTGGCCTCTTTGCAGGCTGGTGGAAAGCGAGGGGGACGGCGGGGGGTTGGGGAGAGCCAGGTCGCGAAGCGTTCTCGGAGCCAGGCGATTGGGGGAGGCCAGCATTGGAGCCAGGGCGGCTTCCAACAGACTTGAGGGATCCAGCATCGGATTTATCGGTCTGGCTCTCAGTCCGGGAGAGGGCAGTGGTGGAACCCCGAGGGCTATCGGAGCTGCGAGCACCAGGGATTTTCGATCGGATCGAGCCGCGGAAGGAGCGAAGAGACTCTTTGGTGTCGGACTTGGAAAACGAAGGGTAGGATTGAAGAGCATCGCCCGAGGCGTTGCCCTTGGAATGCGACTGACCCATCACAAGAAGGTTCGGGCAGCTGCCAAGCTTGAGTTGAGAAGATCGCACGAACGATGGAAGTTGGAACTATTATGCCGAGAAGCCCCTGTTGTGTTGCTGGAATGTCTTGGCCCGAGCTTCTGCAATATTATAAAAGGCTTGGTAGAAACTCTGCAAGGACTGCGCAGTGATTTGTGCGAGGACTGATTATAACCAATCCACCTGGTTGGGACCTTTAACACACGGGCGGAGGCAAGTGCAAGATGTTGAGCACAGTTACGAGACACACGGGCGAGGTGGCCGAAGTCAAAGTGAGGATCTAGGTAGCGGGACAGAGGGTTTGTGATTGATGTAGGTGGAGAGGGTTTCAAATGGTGAGAAGCTAAAGATAAAAGGCGGAAGCTCTGAGGTGAGAGACTTGGGAAGAAGCTCTACAAAAAGTTAGCTACTTGCACGAGACAATGCAGGTGCGGGATTGCAGGGCTGACTCCGCAGAAACCCAGGTGGCATGTGGAGGTATTGGTGAGAAAAGGAAGAAGAAAAAAAGACGCAAGGGAGGTCCTTGAATGGAGAGAGACTGGGAATGGTGGGTTTGCGGGTAGAGAGGAATGCGTCATTATGTACGGGGGGTTTGAGTGGGTGGTATTCCACAATATCAGGCCGCAGGCAGACACACCGGGGGTATCATTTACCTCAAGAAAATCGTAGGAGTATATCACAATAAGGGGGTGAAATGTCCCTGCGATGAAAACCAGAAAAGAGAGGGGAAGAGGAAAGTTGAAGAGAGAGAGTCTCAAGGCTAGCAAGGTCAGATGTAGGCAAAAGTACTCCGCCACCGCTAGTACAGCAAAATGGTACTTCGCGGGTACAAAGTGGCTGTTTTTCTGGTTTCGGTTTCTTGGGCCCGGTCTCGATCGGGGAGTGGATTAGGTCAGCCGGACTATCTCTCGGTCCGAGCTATACAAAGAACCCTGTCCTGGACTACTTGGGAGAGTCAGTTTACCTGAAGATAGAGAGAGAGTCTAGACTCTGATATTTATATTGATACTTTCATTATCCAGCAGCTTTTATCAAAAGGTTATTTTTTCTTTTTTCTTTTTCCTTTTCCTTTTCCTTTTTATCTCATTTCATTTGATTCTTTTTTCTTTTTAAGCCAACCAAACTAGTACACACAGATCCAAAGTCCCTGGTCAGTCCGTATATCTTTCTCTTTACAGCTTCACACCGCACAAATTTTGGAAATACCTTCTTTGTTTTTTCTCTTTTTAATCTTGTAGAGCCCTGACTTTATCCCCAATATCCGAACAGTATCCTTCTGCATTTCCTTATATTCTATCTAGATCCTTTGGTCTCTCTTAACGATCTTTTTAGGCGTCCTTTTGAGGCGTCCTTTTTCAACCCCCACTATTAGCGCTCGATAAGCGATGCTCTCCTCCCTACAACGTACATGCGCTTACATTCCAATTTGAATCTGGGCCACCTGAAGAGGCCATCATAAATGAATTTGCAGAGCCAGTCGGACACTAAGAATCTTTTTCCGACCCTACCCGGCTATTCGCAAGAGAATCCATCTGGAGCTTGGACCCCGCCACCGGGGCCATATCTCCTATCAGAAGTGATAGGAGATAAAAGTGCAGCACCCACTGACCCAAGGACTCAATACCACGTTTGGAAGCAAAATGATACATCACAAATTTATATGTCGCTGCGTGGTAGAGCGTTAGTCTCCTGCAAACACTTCCGACAGTGGAAAGCGGCTAGAGAATAGTAGCGCCCGTTCAGAAACAACACACCCCCTAAGCCCCATGATCAGATCGCAGCGGAAGTGAACACGAGCCACAGATAATCTTGGTTCTGCACGAAAGCAACTACGCTGCATGCCAAGGGATATCTGTGGCGGAGACACCGCCATTTTGCCCCTCCATTCACCCCTTGTTGGCCAAAACGCCTGCCACAAACAATCTTCCTATCCGATAACTTGACTGCAGACCGGCAGGTCAAGCCACCTTAGATGCTGCGACACTGCGATGCAGCTGCTGTGACCCCGGTGCCACGTTGATGAAGCAGCGAGTGCCGCTGCAAGCAAGCCTCACCTTGGCAGCCCCACGCTCAACTCTCGTCCTGGCGGAAAAGCAGGGACCAGGGTAATGGTGGGCGCAGGGCAGAAACCGGGCTTCTCCTGCGGCATATCGCGTGAGTGGGTGCAATAGGTGCCATGCTGCTTGGTATTGTGGGGCAGTAGAGCCAGGTTTATCATTCGAGAATAGAATAAAGAGCGATTCCCTAGGTAGGAAAATGAACGGTCTCGTGGACACGAACCCGAGTTGGAACCAAATTAAGGCTTACTCCAGCTCTATTTTCGTAATGTGACGTCCTGGGATGACAATGAGGCCTATCAACCGATGTGTCATGTTCACTTTGACAGTTGTGCTCTTTGCTTCCGACCCTTCTCCCCACGACTGCTTCTCCTCTGCAGCGGCTTGTACGGCAGAAGTGGTGGGCATACGGTATTCAAAGGAGTTGGCGAGGATGATATTTCGGTCCTATTAAGGAGTTTTTGATTAGTAACATTCGCGATATGCTATTCCAACCCCCATAGCACGTAGTTCCTAGGTGACTGCTTACCGCATCAGTACACTTGAAAAGCCCAACAAACATCCGAGTATCCGTGGTATGAATCCGCAGTGTGCGACCCAATAGGCCTTCCAAGTACTGAACAGACTGATCGTGATCCATTGTGGTTGGTGCGTTGTTCGTGTCAGCAGCCGAAAGGCCTCCAATGTGCGGGGGAGTTGAAGTCTGAGGGTAGCGGAGCTGAAAAGGATTCCGACGCAGGAGGAAGGACAAAGTCGGATTATTCGGGGGGTTGGCAAAGTTAAGTAGGTTTGTAAGTTCTCTTGCGGTTTGGGATTCCCCTGGCCTTGTGATTCAATGGAAGGAGGGACGAACGTCGAACGTCGAACGTCGGGGGGGACAAACAACTTTGTTGGTGCCTGAGGCCACATTAGGCTAACGGTATAACAGCCACACTAAACTCTACAACTTAGAAAGAGCTATAGAGTATCTAAATAACGAGAAGTGAATATATTTTAAATAAATTATCAGCTGCTAGCCTTACTATAGTATATTTATGCATACACAAGTGCTTATATTGAACGAGTTGCCATTCTAGGCAAGCGATCACGATACCTCCAATATAGCTATCAAGAGCCGAATCAAATAATGAAACCCTTACCCCAGGGTTCAATTGAAGTCAGAAGTCGCTGGAATATCGAATCAAGCCAGATATCTCGCCATGTATGTTCATTAAAAGCTAAAGTCCCTAGTCTTTCAAGTATTCCCAGGCTTCCATAGACGCCAAAGACCGAAAAAGAATCTCTTGGTTCCTTTCTAGAAAGGAAGAAAAGCAAAGCAATATAATTAGCCAGTAACACCTTGCCCAAATAACCCAATAGGTATCACAAAATAGATGGAAAGGTAATGATAACCTTTCCTGGTATAAGTACCAGCGCCCGACGATGAGGGACCCGTGCAACCAAATTACATCCAGGCCATTCCCCCCACCCAGTTCTTGGGCGCCTTGTCCAACCCATCGCCACCGTTTCTGCTATCCATGTCCATATCCATGTCCACATCAGCACCCATCTGATTGGATCCAGGGCTGTTGCTCTCGCTCGAACTGTCTCCCGAGCTCATTTGATTAAACGCCTGGCGGCGCAGGAGATCCTCCTGGGCGAGCGCAGTCTCATTGGCACGAGGTGCAAGTGCTGAGCGGGATGGTCGAAAAGACGATGATTGCTGGGGTTTTTGTTGGAAGAATCGGTGTAATGTTTGTTGTCGAGGGTCAACGTCTTCTGGTGTTTCGAGGGTTGGCTCTGAGTCCATTGTATCCATATCGGTGGCTTGTGCAGACTCTTGCTGCTTTTGGGCAGAGAAGATCCATCGTAAGGTGTTTTCTGCCAGCTGTCAGCAAGGTTGAACGTTGACGATCAAGGGAGAGTGCCACAAGGGCGAGGCGAGGCTCTTACGGTAAATCACCTGGTCACTAGGACGATCGTCTCTGAAGCGCTTTCGTGTCCGACTGTGGAGATGTGTGCTCCCATCGATCACCATGCCCCATTCACTGGGGGCTGGGACTGACGGACTATTCGGGAGAGCTGTGAACGAAGCTTTCCGCTTGAGTGACATTTTAAGAGCTTGGTGTGTATAGCAAGGTAGATTGGTAGGAGGTATGTAGAGGTAATTGCGTATAAAAGGTCTCACGGGGGTAATGACAGACGAAGATGTGAGGAGTTAAGACGAGGACTGATGCGAACACAATTGGCTCAGCGCGTCATCTCCGAGTTTCGCGTTGCATTCCGTCAGGCTAAACCCAAACGGGTAATATAGGTACAAACTCCGATGCTCAGATAGCATCTTTCCACATCATGAGCTCTAGAGCCTCTGGATTTCTAGAGGAAATAGGCTATTACTACTCTCAGTAAATATCTCCGATCTAGAGATATCAACACTGTTGCTTCAACCACGCCACCGTACCTAGTTGATCATTCTTTCGGTATCCAGGACTACACTACTTCAAACAACATATACAAAGATGTACAAACGGACACTTGATAACTGTTTCTTGTGGCCTTTTGACAAACGGACACTCGGAACTACGCAGCTACTCGATCCTCTAACTTTGTTTGCCAGTGCCGTATCTTGGTATAGGTACATATAGGTACTTTCGCAGTTCCAAATGATATTCAGATGTGAAAATTCACAATCTGATATTGACTAGAAACCCACATAGGGAATATATTAACTACAAAGCTTTCTGTGTATTTTCCAAGTACTTAAATCCAGTCCAATCAATCTTGAATACCAACATCTTCCAATATCTTCCCTATCGGCGCGCCGGCTACAGCGTTCGGGATCCCCCGCTCCCCCCACTTCTCCTCAATTAGAGAGCTTCAGCTTGTAGGGCAGAACCACTTCTCACATTCTACCTTGACATTAATCAATTACTTCAAATCCTATCATGCCATCTCGACAGGCCTCTCACTCTGGATCATGGTACTCAGATAGTGCCCGCACACTAGCCCGTCAGCTGGATGGTTGGCTGGCACAGGTGCCAGATACGATGGAGAAGGTCGGCTCGCTGCCAACTCCAGGAGCCAGAGTGATCATCGCACCGTATGTCTGAGACGCTCATCATACATACGATGTTATCCAGAGCCAAGCGTACTAATCAACCAGACATGCGGGCTATTCATACTCAGGGCCTTGCGCAGCCTACGCATACAAAGCGTTAGATCTCTCCAAAGCGTGAGCTATTCCCCCACTTCTTTTATGAAACTGTTCTAACTTCATAAATAGGAAGCGAATATTTATTCTGGGACCATCACACCATGTCTCGCTCGCAACACTGGCTCTTCCAACGCTAACTTCCTACCGTACCCCTCTATCCGATGAACCCCTCCCACTAGACACCGAGCTGATTACCCAGCTTCTCGAAACCCAGGCAACTAAACCAAACGGGGGAAAAATTAGCTTCACAACCATGTCGCGTTCGGTTGATGAAGACGAGCACAGTATCGAGATGCACCTTCCCTACATCCATCGCTTGCTCCAACTCCAATATCCAGATTCTCCAACCTCTGAGTACCCACCTCTAGTCCCAATCATGGTCGGAAATACCTCGGCCTCGACAGAGGAGGCATTCGGGGCCCTCTTAGCCCCCTATCTAGCGGACCCGGAAAACGCCTTTGTGATAAGTTCGGATTTCTGCCACTGGGGCCTCCGATTCCGCTACACGTACTATGTCCCACAGGCCCCCAGGCCAGGGCCACAACTGCCATTGTCTGGTGATATACTTCCGCAGCCCGGAATGGATGCAAGCAGCGTTGGTCAGGCTCTTGAAATGGTCTCAGCTGGTCACTCCTTGCGGCAACGCGATCGTATCTCAAGCCGTGAACCTGCCATTCACGAGAGTATCTCAGCATTTGATATGGCTACCATGGCTGCCATCACGACGGGATCTGCAAAGTCTTTCCTTGATATTATTGAACGCACGGGTAACACAGTATGCGGGCGCCACCCGATCGGGGTAATCATGGCAGCCCTGGAATTTGTCACGGCAGGTCAAGCAGCCGACCAGGAAGGACGATTTTACTTCCTGCGATACGAGCGTAGCTCGGATGTAGAGGAGATTGGCGACAGCTCGGTGAGCTATGTCTCTGCATTTGCTGTACTTTAAGATATCCCATCGCTAAAGTAAGGCTGGGATCAACGAGTCATGAGTATCTGAACCAGAAACTAACTAGCTAGGTATGGCTTGTTTAATATAACATTTAAGATTGCATGTCCACCTGGAGCCATGAACGCGATGGTCTGTACGGAGTAGCGCTCATTTAAATCACCAGTCTAGACACAACAATGAAGATCGTAGATTGAATAACTGGCCTAACTAGGTTCTTCTCACAAGTTCTAGGTCTGGTATTGCAACATCTTAACGCCGAAGCACCCCCATGGTCGATGGTTGCACTTGGGTATACACCGCCTGGTGTATCCAAGGTTTAAATGGACCCCTAATCTCTTAAATGGCATAAGACGTTTCAGATGAGATCTATTAGAATATCCCCGAACGCTAAGTCAAGATTTTCCTTGTTATCACAAATTCTCAAACGTGGAACACCTCCTGAAATTAGCCGCTGGGCTGATGGGAGGCGTTCTTCGGCCAATCCGGCAGCCCTACGGGATATTAGATACTTTTCCCGGTCAGCCTCTACCCCTAGATTCAATATATTTCAACTAACCAGATCGCAGAGAGACATCTTTCGGCTTTCTGGTCCCGTCGGAATGTTTGGAAGCGCCGAGTACCCTGGTCTGACAGGCAGTATGGCACTATGGTAGTCAGAGCATTCGCAAGATTACATGTACGGAGTACTTTTTTTCTTTGAAAGGCAGCAGCCCACTTCAGGGCTTCCTTGTCTGATTGATCTATTGTCCTGCATACATCCAAAAGAGTGGACCTGGATGTAGACAATGTGGAAATTTTCAAACAAAGCGCCCAATGCATCTAATACTTCTTTAACTCAAGGCCTATGTCCTACCTTTATGCCGTCTTTCATTTCTCACCCCTCCAGTCACTCCTTAAGCTGGATCTTTCATTCCTTTTAGCTTCATATTCCAACTTCGCGTAGTGGAGATATTCCTTGGCTGGTTCTTGGAATTCTTCACCGCTTAAAAAGCCATGTTCTTCTTCTTCGTGGCCCTGGTTGGCCTATTTTCTTTCACATTCGCTTTCCCGACTCCAGTCGACTACGTTACCAGGATGGCTTCTACCGATGAAAATGTCGGAAACAAATTGGTCTTTTGTCATTTTATGGTAATTTACACAGCTCTATTGCATTTTTTTAAACCTCTCAACATAAACCCCACTAACACTATCTAGATGGGCATCGTCAGCAACCGCGAAAACGCCTCGGACTATGACGATGACATGAAACGTGCCAAAGACGCAGGTATTGACGCCTTTGCATTGAATATTGGCACCGACTCTTACGGCGACACCCAACTGTACTATGCATATGAATCTGCCGCCAACAATGACATGAAAGTATTCATCTCCTTCGACTTCAACTGGTGGCAGGCCAGCCAGGCCAGCGAAGTCGGCGCCAAGATCGCGCAATATGCGAGTCATCCTGCGCAGCTCATGGTCGACGGAAAGGTCTTTGTGTCGTCATTTTCGGGCGACGGCGTCGATGTTGATGCGATCAGATCCGCTGCTGGCAGCGAGATTTTCTTTGCACCGAATTTCCAACCCGGTCAGAGCGATTTCGATAAGATCGATGGTGCTCTGAATTGGATGGGTTGGGACAATGATGGAAATAACAAGGCTCCGACTGCTGAGCAGTTGGTTACTGTTTCAGATAGTGATAAGACTTACGAGGATGCTCTTCAAGGGAAAGCATACATTGCGCGTGAGTAGCTAGAGTATGTTGGTTCTTCTGTGCATATTTGCTAATCGATGAATAGCCGTCTCGCCTTGGTTCTCAACTCATTATGGCCCCGAGGTCTCTTACAGCAAGAACTGGGTGTTCCCTTCCGACCTCCTCTGGTATGACCGATGGAGAGAGATCCTACGTCTTAGCCCTCGCTTTGTGGAGATCATCACCTGGAATGACTATGGCGAGTCACACTATATCGGCCCGCTATCGTCACCACACACAGACGACGGTGCCTCGAAGTGGGCGATGGATATGTGAGTAGAGATGACCCGCCCTAGCAAATTAAAAAAAAGCATCAACTAACAAGAAAACAGGCCCCACAACGGCTGGCTCGATATGGCAAAGCCCTTCATCGCTGCCTACAAAGCAGAGTCGAGACTTCCCATCAGATTTATAGAGGAAGAAAAGCTAGTTTACTGGTACCGACCAACTATGAAGAGCGTCGACTGCGATGAAACCGACAATACAATGCAAGGCAGCGACAACAACGCCACCGGCAACTTCTTCCGCGGCCGTCCGGACGGCGCCCACACAATGAAAGACGAGGTGTTTGTCGTGACGATGCTAAAGATGCCCGCGATGGTGAAGGTGCAGTCTGGTGATAAGACTGAGACCTGGATCGCGCCTCCGGGGATCTGGTCACACTCGGTGCCGATGGGCGTGGGCGCGCAGAGTTTCAAGGTCACCCGCGGCTTCCGGACGGTTCAGGCTTTGTCCGGGACGAGCTTGAAGGATGTTGTTGATACGTGCGTCTGCGGTATCTACAACTTCAATGCTTACGTGGGCACTCTTCCGGCGGAGGAGACTATTGACCAGTTGCAGCCGGCTGGGTTGAGTATGCTGACGGAAGGATTGATGGTGACGCCCCAGATTAACACTCTGGGTCAATAGTCTTACGTGGGACATGCTCCCTGGCTCTGGGGGTTAAGTTACTTATTGCTTGAGATCTGGGACCTATGTACAGATTACACTGAGTGGAGTGAGCACCTCAGTTGACTCACTTGATCCAAGTGTGAGGCTACCTATAGAACATCAATAAGATACAACACGCCAGCTAAATTATGTATTACTATCTCATTGTTGAGTATCTAATTTATGCAAGGATACCGGCTACCGGCTACAACCTAGCGAGATACGGAGTATTGTTTGAAGATGCAAACATTGTGCTAGCTACGGAGTAGATATAGGGGCAATTCCACGCTATCTCAAATGACTTGGATTTTTGGCCCCCAACATTTTTCTCGTCCAACGTCGGTGCCTAACACACACAGCCCCTGACTTTCATCCGCCTTGCAGGCATCAATCTTCATGCATCTTTGCGAGCTACTTCGTATGTTGTATGGAGTATGGCTTTGAATTTACTGCGCCATCGGGGTGTGGCTTGGGTCACCCCAACACTCGACCTCGGCCTCAGGAGACGGAGCTGCGATGGAACGGCTGAGTATCCTTGTCAACACTAATGCACGCAGTTCTCTATCACAGTCCCCTAAATCCCAAAAGTTCCTAGCTTGACGTGAAATTCTCCAATCATCTCCGTCTGGCATGAGATCATTTCAGGAACGCCCGGATAACCCGCTGTCGGCCATGGAAAAAATAGGAAGGTTACTAGCAGTTCAACGCCGTCTGCGCCAATTGCCCATTATCCGATGCATTGCAGGGGGTATGCCCGGACTGCGAACTAGCTCAATTAGATGGGCTAGAAAGAGGGGGACATATGGACTCTCAAGTCCTTTGGTCTTCGGGTTAAACACCCCGCCCCGTCCCCAGGTTGGCTAAGAGCGTCCTGAGCTTTATTTCACTCTGAACTTCCAGAGTACCCCTCATTAATACTCGATCTCACCTCTCGTATGCTGTTAGAATGATGCAGTCTGCTATGGAGTCCTCGGCCAACGTGTTCATTCCTCTCTCAAGCTTACTGGAGATAGCATATAGACCTATACTCAGGTGTGCCCAGCTCAAAGATGGCACGGAGCCTTGCTCCAACAAAATCGCAGGAGCCAACCTGGAACCCGTGAAAGGATATTTTAGGCAATTATTTGCCATCCTTGATGAACCTGACAGCAAGTTTCATGACAAAGATGGATTATTCGATAAGGTCCTCGCGGAATTGATCGACAGATGCCTTTGCGCGCGTCGGCACCGCCAAAATTCCGACGACGCAAAGAGCCAATGGTTAAAGGAGCTGTACAATGATGAAAAGAGAGACCAACTGCATTCCAAGCTGCAATCCTATCTTTCCGAGTCCTTGGAGGAAGACTCGATCATTTCTACACCACCACCGGCAACAGAGTTTGAACTCTGCAATTCCAAGAACTCACCCATTGACAAATACGAAGTGCAACTAAATGTGACTTGTAAATTGCTCGAGCCCCTCACAGAAAACGACAAAAAGTCCGGGTTCATCTATCTCATCTCTCACCCTCGAGAACCGGAAATGTTCAAAGTCGGACACACCGCAGATATCGAGGCGCGTTTTGGCAAACACAAACGGTGCTATGAAGAGTTCACCACATTGAAGAAAGACCACATACCCAACGTCCATCGCATTGAGCAACTCATCATTACCGAATTCTCCCTGAAGCATTACAAACTCAAACAAAAATGCAAACGATGCGATACGAGTCATAAGGAATGGCTCCAAGTCAGCCAAGCAAAGCTGGTTAACAGTTTCAACAAATGGGTCAAATTTGCCAAAGCCGATAAGAGACCTTACGACGAGAATGGTCGTTTCAAGTCCAGGACCGTTGCGTTACCATATCCTGCTATGGATTTCAAGCCAACGTCAACTCCAAAAAAAGGTACACCTCGACGATCAGATGTGACCCCGTCACAGGAAGCGTCACCTTCTAAGCCTGATCCTTCTAAGTCTTATGTAAGGATTATTCAAGAAGAACTTTCCGGCGAGAGCTCCGACGAGAGCGCGCCCCGTCCTGTTTATAACGAGGCGGACCACTCAAGCCTCGTCTCGAATCTTTCCGATCGTCTTGCTGCTGCTCGTGTGGGGTAAGTCTTGCATTTGTTGCTTTCTCGCGTGTTTTCATAGTACATTTTGAGCATAACCCTGAACGTCCTCATAAAAGTGGAAGCTTAGATGGGAAAGCCTCAGCCAAGAGGATACTACACAAAGGTACCTAAACAATACAAGTTAGAACTTGAAAGGGGAGTGGTTTCAATGAATATTTATAAGCTAGTTGCTACTGTTGAATGAAATTGAGTTTAGAAAAGATAGAGTAGAACTACGGGGTATGGAGTATAGATTAAGATTCGGCTAAAGTAAAAACGATCTACAAGTAAGTAGCCCGAGTTATTATCTTCCGCATTTCCTTATCTTTTTGGGACCCAGATAGCTATACCAGAAACATGTACGGAGTAGCCACATAAATACCTCAATCTATACTCCGTACTCCGTACTCCTTTATCTTTAGCCTCACCGACTCTTTGCACCAATCCTTAACTGGACCACTTGGGCCCTTTCGGATTGACGGGAACGTGTCGTGCCCGATAGGGTCATCAGGTGCAGGTGCAGATCTTGTGACACTATTTATGAACCGATCTCGCTGTCAATGTCAATGTCAATGTTTCTTTATTTTCAATTTTAGCGGGGACGACCAAAGTCACTATCAACAATGGCCCGTATGAAACAGGGGGTCTTCTCCTGGGAGGATGTGCTGGTCCAGCGGTATCAGAGTAAGTAAATAACTTCTTTTCTTTACTTATTTCGTACTTCCTTCTACTTCTTGTTGGGTATACCAAATCTAACAGTGACCTCTGAAAAAAAACAATAGGCAACAAACCCACTCCTCTCCCCCGCCACCAAACAATAGCAATCCCCTCACCCCAACTCCAAAGCCGACTCCTCACCCGGTTATCACCGGAGCTTCGGTTAATGATCTGGGAATTTGTCCTGGCCGACCAAAGAATCCACATCATCCAATGCAGCAAGCAACGACTCGGACACGTGGTGTGTCCCTGTGCGCTCGAGCCCAGGTCTTCATTGCCAAAACGCCACACTCGCCAGAACAGCAATTTATGTGAGATCTGCCATGGCACGGGCATCTCCCAGCCGGCCAAAGAGGCCGATCTCCTCCGCTGGAATAAGGTTAAGCTACTGGGTCTGGCGTTGACTTGTCGGCAGATGTATGGTTGAATAATTTTATCCTTTCCTTACCCCTCTACCCCTCTACCCCTATACAACATACTTCTGTTGTACGATATACACCAACCACCTATATCTCTCTACCTCTTCCTCTTCTCCTCGCCCTATTCCCAGAGAAGAAAAAAATACACTACACTACACTACACATCCAAACCACAAAACCTCCCCCACTCCCGATACTAATACCAAAAAAAAAAACACCCAGATACCACGAATCAATCCCCCTCCTCTACACCCTCCCAACCCTAGAATTCAGTAACCCCTGGACCCTCCCATACTTCCTACCAACAATCCCACCCTCCCACCGCGACCGCATCCGCACAATCGAGCTACGCTGGTCCTTCCCAGGCCACTGGCTCCCGAGCAAAGACTCCGTGCGCGCGGTATACGTGTCCGCAGGACGGACACAGTGGACAGAGACGTGTCGTGCAGTCTCGCAGCTGAAATCACTACGGTCATTCGTGCTCGTGCTTGAGAGCAATTGGTTCAGCGAACCTGTTGAGAAATTGGCTGCGTTTTTGGAGCCTTTGAGCGGGGTTGTTGTGAGGTCTGGATTGAGACAGGGTTGGGATTGGGATCGGGATCGGGATCGTGGTGGCAAGAAGGATGATGATGTAGATGTGGATGTAGATGTGGAGCTTGGGTTTAGTGATGGGTTCAGTTCCGATGAGGACTCTTGTAAGAGCTTGGGGTCGGATTCTGGGTCGTTTTCTTCTGTTGGGGTTTATGACTCGAATGCTATGACTACGGCTATGGCTTCTGGGTCTCGGGGGAGTTGGGAGTTGAGACTTCAGGGTCAGTGTTATTATTTGCATGAATTGGATCGTATAGGGGTGGATCTTCGGCGGAGGGGTATCGATTGCTGGATATCAGCGGTGTGAGAACGATTGGTACCGGAGTATGCTCATTCGAGATCCGCAATGGCGTGATTCAATTTTTATTCTTTAAGCATGTTGCAATGATCGTCTGGTTGATAGACGATGTATGTTGTACAACGTACGGTTATCACTTTGTCCTTGTTTTTTTTTTTTTTTTTTTTTTTTTTTTTTTTTTTTTTTTGGTGTTGCAATGTTTCGGTATCACTTCGGAGTATGTTGAAGGACACCGTTGCAGATCTACATATTAGGATCGGAGAGAATATCGGAATATCCTAGTATTGTTGAGACATACTCGGGCATCTACATACATATGTACTTCCATATTCATTTCTGGACGTTCCATGTATGTATATCCTGTAATCTGACATGATAATATACATGAATGCTACTAAGTTGCTGCATACAACATACAAAGTACATGTATAATTAAAATTCTCTTTTTCTTATCCCCTATACTCTCCTTGGCATTCAAGTGAGACCCTGGACCCACCGAGAGGAGCCTATAAATACTAGTGCATCCCTATAAATATAACACGTGTTTCGCCTTACGCAAAGCAGGAATGGAGTATAATCAAGATGATATCAGGTTTGATTTCTCCATTCCAGGTACATATATATGTACATTGCTCAATGTACAATGACATCCCCTATGGAGTAGAGCTAACAGGATTATTGTATGTGTGATGATGTGTGATGTCGCCAGGGGCAAAAACTCTGTCCGGGTCCACCGGAGGCGCTAGGGAGAGCGCGGGGAAGATTGCATATCCCAATCAAACTAGTATGGTATTTTTATGGAATACGAAGTACATTGGGAGAATATTGAATAATAAAATATTGGTATTGAATGGTGCAAGCACAGTAGAAAAAAGGAAATCGACCCTTGAAAAAGGTGGTCAGGTATATGTATAAGAAAAAGATCGAGCTGGCGATCCTGCCAGGATATGCAAAAGAAAATAGAGAAAGAAAACAGCTGCATCCATGGCTCCCATGACTCATGCATGTGTCATTGGGCATTTCGGCATATTAGAAATAAAAATTGAGAATGATTGAGAAAGGAGAAGGATAGAAGATATCGTTGTCACCTCAAGCGAAAACCCCGGTTGTAACCCATATTAAGTGCAAGATGGTTGGGGAAAAATCAGGCTCCGGATGTAGTATCTCAAGAGAAGAGGAAGGGAATGGAAAATATCGTCGTAATTGAGGCATAGGAGAGAAATTGTGTGATCGATGATCAGGGGGACAATTGGTCAACATAGCCATTGTGAGCGAGCAGGCCAGGGAGCCTGCCCATCTAAGCCCGCGGTCGCACAGGCTGGAATCTTTGTCAAGATATAGTGCTCGTCATTCTGATGCTGATGCCCAAGAGGGATGTCAGTGGCATGGACAAGGGTGCCCAGCGCGACCGTAATGGCTTTGGTCAATAGTCAAAACCAATGTGGCCTAGGGGGTTCTCGAACGTCGCTGCGCCCGGCCAGTCCTCCGATAAGAGAAAGGGGGCTGTGGAATATTGAATATCCAGGTCGCACAATCGTTCGATAAGTGGTGTGGCTGATATGAAATTTCAGAAGCCGAGGGGTTGATGTGATGCCAGGTTAACCAGCAGTGAATTTACCGTCCTTCGCGGGAACGGTCGGGTCCGGAGTTACCATGGCCTCGTGCGGCAAGCCACTCGGTCGAGGCCTGCTGGCGAGCACCTGGGTGCTTCTGGTCCTCGGGGCGACCGGTAAGGCCTTGTGGGAGCATGTTATTGATTTCTGCTGCCAGAGCAGATGCCACGTAGCACCGGAGTTCCTTCTCTTCGCGCTCATCTTCCTTGATCAGGCGGCGTTGGTCAGTCTTCGACATGTTTTCGCGACGCTTGCGTCGGATCTCGTGGATTGACCACAAAACCACTTCTTCGGGGGCGCGAGTGCGAGGGTTTCCGTGTCGGGAGAAGTTGCGAACGTAGCGGTGGGTAACATCGGTCGCACCATCGATGGAGAAGGCCACACAGTAAGAGAGCTTACGTTGCCATCCTTCGGTGTACAGGCGAGGTTGGTCCCAGGCGCCCTCGCAGGAATCAACGTGGACCCATCGCCGCTGGTGCTCCGAGTACACTTCGGTCCAGACATGATCCTCGGAATTCCAGACCCAACGGACTCGAGCCCCGACTGCGCGGCACAACATGCTAAAGCAGTTGGCCCATTCGCCAACTCTGCCTCGTCGAGTTTGCAGCAATTGCCACACATCGGAATACCGCGGGAATCGCTCGTCGGCGGCACAACTAGCATCGGAACAACGGTACAGCTCGACTCGGGTGGCGCCCCGGGCGGTCTCATCGGGGGTGGGAGGGGTCATGCCTTGGGCGATCGTGGGCATGTGACATTTCGAGCATGGAGGATTATAAACAAATTGGAAAAATGACCCCTTGAACCATCTGCATAAAAGATTGATATGTTAACAAGGGTGCAATGGGTCTAGACCATCTAGGGATTCCAACATACCTTAGCAATGCTCGGATCACACAATCTTGGTAGCCCCATTCCGGCTTCCCTCCCACGCTGGCAGCCTGGGCCTGCATAATTTGAGATTCTTCCTCGGCCTCGGAATACAGGCGATCGAGCGGAATGAGGGACAAGGCCTCATCCAATAGACCCGGGTTTTCGTATTTCGTTGGTGTAACTGATAATCCCTTCAATAAATTGTAAAATTTAAGTGAAGCTGGATCCTGCGGAGGGGATGGCATTAAAGGAAGACCGCGTAGTGCTGATGGGGTCGTGGATGGCTTTGGAGAGGGAGTGGCGGCAGGGGTGCCCAACGAGGGAGGTGGTGGCGGAGCTCGCGTCGGTGGTGGAGGGAATGCTGAACTGGACATCGGAGATGGTGATGGTGAGTTATTATGTGAGCGAGAGGGTTCATGAAGTCGGTTGAGTCGTTTGGTGCGCATCAGTTGCTCGAATTCGTGGGTTAGAGAGGAGGCGTCGTAGCCGTTTGGGGCAGGCTGGTTAGCCCGATGTCTGCCGTCCGCCATAGTCGATGAGGAAGTCACGGCAGACTTCTTAAGACGATTCAAGGTTGAGATCCAGGATGACTCGAAATGGGCGAACAGTCGAGTTTCGGCGCAAGAGGTCCAATTTGACCCAAGGTTGGGGGGGGAGAGGAGTAAGAAATGGGATGTCAGAGACGAGTAGTAAAGAAGGGACTACCTCGCTCGAGTTGACGTAGCACTTGAAGATCACTCTCTTATTGGGGAGTCAAGAAGGGAAAGAAAGAAAGACGAGCCCTTGGATAGAGAGAGGGAGGGAGAGAGGACAAGAGTACGGAGCAGCATACGCAGTATTACGAGCGTCGTCAGCATCTGGCCCCAATCACGGGCCCCGCGGCCAAGCCGCGTGTGCGAAAGCGAAAAAAAAGCCAAGGAAAAGACCCTTTTTCCCCGTAATTTCCGTAATTTGTGTATTTTTGGCTCCCATGAACACGTAACGTCCACATCCAGATTTTCATGGATCGTTGTTGGTTGCTTGGCGTCGTCTATACTTTCATGGCTTGAAGGCTTCTATATCCTTTTTTTTTATTCTTGACATATATTATTGTATGTATACTCATTACTTTAAATATTATTTATTTGGGTATAAATTGAAGGTACATTACATATGTATGTGAGTATCCTATACCCTAACCTGGTTCATCACACAACACGTAAGTCTTCCAAAGTTGTCGTCAATATAATGATGGTTGGGTACAACAGTGAAGATCAATACGAAGGTTCATAAGGCGATGATCAAAGCTCGAGGTTGGGTTAGTATATGTACTTGGTAAGAGTACGGAGTATATGTTGTACTCTGTAACTATGGAGTACCAAATCAACATTAAGGTAAAGTCAAGAGAAAAAAAAAAAAAAAAAAAAAAAGGAAATAATATTAAGGAGGATAAGTTGTAGAGTCAACGCGCGGCCAAGGTACGAAAGCTCAACTTTCCGTCCGCTTTTCCACTCAAAGGCTGGAGACGCGCAAGCGTCCGTCTTGGCATTTCACACGATCGGGGCCTACAGCCTGCTAAGCCGCTTTGAGGCGGTGCTTTTGACCTAATGCGGTTTAGCGTTGGTTCCTATGAAGGGGGCCTTTTTAAGGCATCGTCTTCTTTGGTATGAATGCCCTATGCAACGTGAGATCGTAATTCATGGGATACTCAATCGTCCATCTTCGATGGGAATGTGAATGTGAGATCCCATACTCCGATCTCATATTTCCAAAAAAATAGTCCGTACATCTATGATAGTGCGGATCATTAGGGCTAAGTCCGTACAACGCTACAACCCGCAGGAACTCGTACTCCATCGCCAATTAAAATAACCCGTTTGAACCACCCACAAGAAGACCCTGAAAATAGTAATTCGAGTTGCTGAATCATCTTTTTCCTTTTTCGGTTAGGCAATGAATTGGGTCGTGTCGATCCGTTGGTTGTGTATACATTACTCCGTACGGAGTACCACTCGCCCATCCCCAGAACCCGCGCTCTGTATATATTGGACCCAATGAGCCGACCTGCATATGAATAACCAGGGTTGGGAAAGGCTCTATACCTAAGTAGGCACTTCAAATATGTCTCGTCTAGCCGGCTCAACGGGATTAATAATCACTCATGTTCGGGTCCACGGGTGCAACTATTCAGAGTAAACTATGAGAATATAATTAGGGTTACGTTGACTGTGGTATGCCAATGATACAATACACTTCGTACGGAGTACAATTATGCTGTTTTTTTTTTAGATTCACAAGCTCCCGAGATTCAGCCCTGAATTCTATTACCATCCCATGACTCGGGAAATTACTGACCAGGAATTCTGTCTGGGGAAACCGATCCACCGCCGCCGCCGTTTCATCTTCTAAGCCGCGTTTGAGCCTAGTAATATTCCGAGGCTATGCTGGGTGGCTGTGCGATCGAATAGGTTATTATTGTCAGAATCCATAAGTAGTTGAACAATCCATCGTAAGTATCGGAAGTGTTGACCCTTTTGTTTACTAACACGACATTCCCTATAGTTCCGATGCCGAGAAAAGGTGCCTGGATGCTTAGCTCGGATGGCGCGAGCACCAATTTCGCAAAAAAACCGGGTCGTTTACAAGCAATACCTATTGGTATCTTGGCCATCGCTCATTTTGTTTATCAGTGTGTTATTTTCTCTCCTCGCCGGCGGTATTGACCGTAATGATTAACAACAGTTAGGTAGTACGATTCGTACGCAACACGCAAGGCACTCATATTGGCATTGATTATTCCCATGGGATTGGATACGCCAATGCCACAAGCCAAGGGAGAAATGCAGAACTCCAAAAAGCTAAAGCAATTCGGGCTCATCAAGCCGACCGAGCCAATTATCCCCGGATGCCAAGTGCCAAGATCTCTCATGTCTCTCCTGAGTCTCTTGACTTTATTGCTTGAATGATATATTAAACCAAGACGCCGCTTATCCTGCGAGACTGTTGTCGTATCCTCTGAGCTTGGCTCTCTTTTTCCAAGGTGCCAAGGCTATATGCAACGTCGATGCTCCATTCCCATGGATGCATACGCGCATTGCATCTAGTTTCCACGCGTCGACATCCATTCAATACATACGTGTCCCTCAGCATCTCTCGAATTTCTGTCAATCCTGTGATAACCGCGATAATAACGGGATCCTCAACCTGACGTGGTGGGCGTTTCGTCCCCCGCCAGGAACACAGGACACGCACGCAGTATGGGTGGCTCGTCGTGCAGCTGACTTCTTGAGCTTGGCCTTACGTTGACATGCTTCGACGTTTTACTCCATGCGGTCTTTTGTTTAACTCGAAAGTGACAATGACGGACATACGCGATCATAGCGTTAGCTAGGGTGGGCCGAAACGTCATGCGCTAATCCACTCTAGCTCTATCGTTGTCGCAAGCTCTTGGGTCTTGAAGAATTTTCCGCGTCTTATCAGCTGACCCGTTCAGATCTAAATTGCCAGTCCGTGCTCAAAGATGCGCGATATACCGTTGGCCTAATGAGGAATAGTATAAGGCTATAGAAAGTATCAAGAAGGCATTCTCTAGTTATCTAGTTACGGGGGAACTAAGACTAAATCCTAGCAAACAGAGATTAGTCACGTGTTCTCGACAACTAACACTAATAGTCGATGTGTTCATTGTTTTTTTTTGTTTTGGCGTACCCCTTATATATAATAGGCAGGTCTAGATTTTACTTTGCCTACTCCCTCTTTGCGTGATTGGCTCATTTTTGCCATCCAATGTTGCAATAGGGTTGATGGTCATGAACTAATGAGTAGGCCAGATGAGATAGCCTTTTTTGATAGATAGTCCAGACTCATTCTAAAGAATGAATAAATACCAAAATATGAACATACTTCAGTCATTAAAAGACCGTTTTCGCTAATATTATCTCAAATGGTTCGGCCACTGAAAGGAGCGTGATGATGGGCAGTCTGGCGTACATAGTTAAGCACCAGGCTTCACACAACAGCTAATAGCAGATCGCATTAACAAATTCAATGCTGTAATCAACTTGAAACAGTTCTCGGATATTAAATGTCAAAATTGAGCAATATCGGGAAAACTTTGTCGTGAGAAACTGGCGGAAACAATAGTAACATACCTACCAGATATATATCTTGCGTACAGCCATGCTGTATTATTCGTCCTTAGGCAATGGATAGTTGTTAATTCCATAAAGGCCGCGGGCAGACAGTAACAACTCAGTAGTTTCACACCCAAGCCACCGTATAAGAAGCAATTTTCTTCTGTCTTTCGCTTCAACAGACATTTGTCCAGCGATCTATGTAAATATTAGCATATAATGAAGACCTGGGAGGAAGAAGCGTCAGACAGTACCAAATAGAATTTAACAAGATATTAATTATTTTCAAGATAGTTGCCAGTATCTCCCTAACTGCAACTTACTGAAGCGAACAAACAGCCCCTGAATCTTTATTTTTGGTCTCTAGTACTCGCGAGTAAGCTTAGAGTCGTTCAGCCATTGTTTAGTTAGAGCCCCGCAAAAAGCTCTGATCCAACCAATCCTTTTTTTTTTCTTTTACCCTTTCTGTACTTAATATCTTCAGTGAAATGCATTCTTTTATTTGAAAGAACTGGCAGGTAACAAATTTCGATTTCGTGAAAAATATCTTTCAGCTCCTCTGGATCCCGTTCTGAACCAGCGGTTTCATGGTTGAGAAGGCATATCTAGCAATTAGCCATTTGCCATTTTCCTTCTTCATGATGAATAATTCCTGGTTCGCGTGTGGCTCCGACTCGTTCAGAGCGAGTATCGTTTTGGTGCCCTCGGCCGTCGTCCTGGCGAACCCCCACTCTGGAGACATCATAACAATTTCCTCGATTTGGAAAGTAATGACGAGCTCAATTGTTGAGAAAATGCGCGTATATGATGCGCGTAGAGAGTCGACGCCCGCACTCGCCGGGAAATGCGGGGGCATAATGACACCATCTGTGGTGTAAAGTGCCAGTACCTCCTCCACATTCCGGGCTTTTAGAGCCGCCCCGTAGGCGTGAAGGACAGCAGAGATAGCTTCGGTGTCAGGTGACGACACTATCATGAGTGTTAGCATTTTGCATATATGGTTGTCGTACCAGTGAGGTGGGTGGACTCACTGTTGAACTTCAAGCCGTTTGAATTTACAAAGAAAAAGGCCCTGAAGCTTCCTTGCTCCTATTATACAATCGAGGGATAACCAGAGGAGTTCAAGTGAGAATTACTGACTCAGTCTTGATATTCTGAAACGCGGTCTTCTATATGGTATCCCTGTCCGTAGATGGGGGTCTCCGCCCAGCTAGGTGGGGGTTGATATTGCGTGAGAGCGAAAAAGCGATGCTAACGGCGAGAGTGCGGTATTTAACCCCATCTCACGTTGACAAACGACTTATGTTGTCGAGCAGTTTCAGTAACAGCCGCTACACCCCACTTATGGATACAGAGAAAGGAAGACTCGCCTCGCACGCCACCGTTGGTTGCCAGCCCATTCATCGAGAGCTACTCATTGGCCGTGGTAGTAGTTATGGGCATTATGGTGATAGACTATCTCGAATCCTGTGACAAGAAAAAAAAAAGCATTCAAATACCCCGGCCTTCGCTGTCCGTACCACACAAGTCGCGTACTTACCTACTAGTCGATCTCAGAGACTTATAATGACAACGGCTACTACCATGAAGGCATTGAACTACATCGGACCTTACCAGGTCCGAGTGGAGGATGTTGAGAGGCCTAAATTGGAACATCCAGACGATGTCATTGTGAAAGTCACAACGGTAAGTAATCAATGGACTCCACTGAGAAAATTCTGGGCTAATAGAAACCGGAGGCTGCGATATGCGGCTCTGACTTGCAGTAAGTCATTGGGGAAAGAGCGCGAAGGACGATGGGCTGGCACACTGAAACTCACCGTGCCCCACAGCATGTATGAAGGCAGAACTGCTGCAGAGCCAGGCATTACCTTCGGTAAGATCGAGTGAAAGGAGCGAGGGACTCCAGCGCTAAAGCAACCAAAGGCCACGAGAATATGGGAATCGTCGACGAACTAGGTGAAGGAGTGACATCCTTGAAGAAGGGGGACCGTGTCGTGATGCCGTTTAACGTTGCTGATGGCCGGTGTCGCAATTGCGAAGAAGGAAAGACAGCATTCTGCACGGGGGTCAACCCCGGATTCGCCGGTGGGGCGTATGGTGAGACATGCATTATTCAATAGTGTGGACTTTCATTTGGTTTGGCTAACATCAGATAGGCTATGTCGCTATGGGGCCTTATCGTGGAGGTATGTGTTTTCGGGGATTTTGAAGAATGGGGATTACATTAATCTGATTGGATGTTAAGGCCAGGCTCAGTACATTCGCGTTCCTTTTGCAGACTTCAATGCTCTGAAATTGCCTCGGGGTAAAGAACACGAAGCCGACTTCGTTCTTCTCGCAGGTGAATCGTCTACGCCTCTTTACTATAACGTATTTTGGATTGGCTAACCCGCGTAGATATTTTCCCTACTGGTATATGTCCTGCTATTATTGTCCTTCAGATTAAGGGAAGCTGTCATCTAACACTAGTGCTATAGGCTGGCACGGCGTCGAAATTTCCGGGTTCCGGTCAGGTGAAAGTATTGCTGTCTTTGGTGCAGGTCCTGTTGGCTTGATGGCTGCTTATTCGGCCTCTTTACGCGGCGCCTCTAACATCTACGTGGTTGACCGTGTCCCTGAGCGACTGGCGGCGGCCCAAAAGTTTGGTTGCGTCCCGATCGACTTCACCAAGGGCGATCCCGTCGACCAAATCATCAGCCACAATGGTGGAGAGGTAGACCGGTCGGTCGATGCCGTCGGTTATCAGGCTGTCGACTCCAGTGGCTCTTCTGAAAAGGCAAATATCATTCTTGAGAACATGATTCGTGTAACGCGGGCATGCGGAGGAATGGGGATTCCCGGGCTCTACGTGCCCAGGTACGTGGTCCTATTACAAACACCCAATAGTGCAATCATTCTAACATGGCTTTCCGCTAGCGACCCCGGTGCAGCTGACAAGGCTTCAGCCAATGGCATGATTAGTCTCAGCTTTGGAAAGCTTTTTGAGAAGGCAAGTGGTTCGCTTCTATACCTCGAGGCCGTCAATCTTGCTAATTTGTTGCAGGGGCTGTCTCTCAGCACCGGTCAGTGTAATGTGAAGGCATATGACCGATACCTCCGGGATATGATCATTGCTGGTAAGGCAAAACCCAGCTTTGTCATCTCTCACGAGATCGGTCTTGACGGTGTAGTGGTGGCGTATGAGAAATTTGACAAGCGTGAAGACGGCTATACAAAAGTAATTATTCACCCTAATGGGGGCTTTTGATCGGTCCACGGGTAACTGGGAGACCATATGTTAACTCCGAGGGGGAAGTACGCATTAGTACTCAGATAGGGAAATATATGAGCTCTCATTTTCAGGGAGGATTTTTGGACCTTCACCCGGAGTCTGGTTAGCAGGCTTTGTTTGAACCTGGTCTTCGGAACTAGTTCCACAGGTGAGCCCGATATAATGACCAAGACTACCGTTTTGAAGACAAAAATGCTTTGGGGATAGGACGGTATTGGCAGTTGCCGTGGCATTTTTTAGGCTCACTGAGTTTTGTGATATCCCAGATAACGGCAGTCTCTAACAACGGGGCCATTAAAGAATCCAACTTGAATTTCAAACTTGCATTTACATCTTAGAAGGCCCACGGAATTTGCTGCGAGAAGGGTCCCTTCGGTCTAAATTGCCGACCCCGAAATTGCCGCGCCGAAATCACCGACGTCACCCCCGGTATAAAAGCTTCTCGGCAATTTCATATCAACTTATCAATAATGTCAGAATCAACCTCGAGCCAAACGATGACCCGTGTGCCAATCAGCTCACAGCGTGTGGTCAAGCCAAGCGCCAAGAGGCGACGCCCCCCCGTTGGCCTGCATCCAATGCTACCAGCGTAAGCTCAAATGCGGAAGAGAGCTTCCATCCTGTAGTCGCTGCTCGAAGACTGGAAATGCCGACAGCTGCACCTACCGTGGCATCTTAGCAAAATCTTCGTCAGTGAATGGAATGTTGAGCGATGATCATTCGGGGAGCGCCGGCGTCGTGACAACGTCCTCGCGGACTCCTGTCTCATTGACAGAGAATCCGGGAAAACCTAGGGCCTCCCCTGACCGGAATGGGAAAATGACCCACTTGAAAGGACAAGAGACCATCACCAAGTTTTATGGGTGTAGTTATCCTCTGAACTTTTACCAACAGGTACGCCACACCATCTCATCCAACAGATATGGAGCATCTCCTCAATAGTGACAGTTTGCCGAGCTTCGGTCCTACATCGTTCAAATAAAGTCCAAAAACCCGATGATCAACATCCTTCGGGACGAGATTTATCCTCTAGCCAATGATGATTATCGGCTTCGTGCGCTGGTGCATGATACTGTAATTGAGGATACCTTGAGACAATTGATTCCCACAAAGCAGGTTGCGGACACATTGACCCAAACTTATATTGAGAGATTTGAGATTATACACCGGGTGCTCAATATATCAGCTTTCATGGCTGATTACAACCGCCATTGGGCTAGTCCACTTTGCACGCCCACTTCATTTTTGGTGCAATTCCTCTTGGTGGCAGCAGCCGCTGCAAGCTTTCACCCCGAAATATGCATCAATGTTATGAGTCAACAAACCGTCCGTGACCATGCACTGGATTGGATTGAGGCTGCGGAGTCTTGGCTCAATTCCTCGACTAGTCAGCCTCCGCAATCCTGGGACACCTTGGCGACTCATTGTCTCTTGCTCGTTGCGAAACGTGCAAACTATGCCCAGGAGGATTCATTCTGGACATACACTGGGACACTGGTCCGGTGGGCTATGGCAGCAGGATATCACCGCGAATCTCCCTCGACAGCAAGAATATCACCGTACTATCGAGAGATGCGTCGGCGCTTGTGGATGACGATCGTTGAGCTTGATATCCAGGCCTCCGTAGAACGGGGGATGCCCCCAAGCGTCAGAATGGAAGATTTCAACATAAAATCACCGCTGAATATCGACGATGACAAGCTCCAGGAGTCGGGTCAGGATCCTTTGGAAGGTATGCCGCTCGCCACATTCACGGATACGTCTTTCCAGGCCCATATGTACCGCTCTCTACCTGTCAGATTGAAAGTATGTGCATTCGTCAACGGATGTTACGAGCAAGATGATTTTGACCGGGTCTTGCACCTTGGAGAGGAGCTAGAAGAAGCACTCCAGGATATTCCAGAATGGAGCACTGCTCGAGACAATCCGCGACAGCAGAAGACTACTATGTACACGAAGAGATTACTGAGCATTCACCTGCACCAGTATACGGTCTTGTTGCACATCCAGTTTGCAATCCAAGCTACGCCCTCATTCAAATCTGCAATCTGCCAACGTGCAAGGTTGGAGGCATCATTGAAGATTCTTGATCACCACCAAAAGCTTATTCAGGATGAAAAGGTACCGGAACAAGCTTGCAGGGCTGGATTGATACTTGCTGTAATAAATGTCTGTCATGAAATTTACAAAGATTTTGGATCTCATGGTAAGCAAAAGATAACCCCGCTTCTTCATTCTTAGTTCTATGCACATGAAAGAAACGAGCACAACTAATCGATCGAAAGATTTAAATCAATCAGCTACGATGGCAATATTTCCCCAAGTCTCGACATTTCTCGTGGCCACTGTTGAGCAGGCACAACAAATGTTGGAAAAGAGGCTCAGCTTGACCTTTCACGGATTAAACGAATATTACCTACTCAGTATGATACTTGGATTAATCAAGTCTAAGCTATGGCCAGAGTCGCGCGCAATGTCCGACAAAGAGGCAGCGGATAGAGTGATCCAAATCTGTATAAAACTGCAGACGCGGTGGCGGGCTGTCATCCAGTCCGATCACTCTCTGCTAGGTTCAATGTAAGTATTCCATTGACATGCACCGGCCGAACCTATACTGATTGTCTGTAGCGATAATGGAGGTTTACGTGGGCTTAACTTGCCAGAGGATGCAAGCTCTATGATTCCCGACGGCGCCGAACTACTCGGTTCAATGGTATGTAATTGGGTTCTGAGATTTCAACGCTGCATCCACTGACGAAGCTTAAATAGTTTTTAGAAGATCTGGGATTTATTGATGATAGTACTGGTTACGGCTTTTTCCTTGTATAATAAGCCTTGTTCAAGTATGTCACCCGAAAAGTGTATCACTTCAAATTCTTTTGACTCAGTTGGAACTAAATCAGATCTGATTAAGAATACAGATTAGATCAGAAGCAGATCTTCTTGAGAATACAGATTGGATTAAAAGCAGGTCTGATTAAGAATTCAGATTGGATCAAAAGCCGCTCGAGGAGGGTCGAGACAGGATCACACAATCTCCAGAAGCTTTGCCCGCAGATAAAACCTCGCCACAGTAACAAGAACAACTCCGGAAAACATCACCACACCGCTGAAAACTGCAACCTGTGTGTATGTTCCGTATCTTTCGAGCAAGGCACCGCATATTGGGGTTCCGGTCAGACCAGCAAGCCCAATAATGGCCATTGACATGCCGAGATGAGTGCCAATCTGATCCGGACTCGGCGTCACTTGAGCAATGCAAGGAGACATCAGCGACACAATGCCGCCCGAAAAGAAACCATAAAGCCCCGCGAAGACAATAATCGACGCATTTGAGGTTACCGCGATCCAGCACAGAAGTAGAATCCCTGTGCAGAGGCTGTTGATGATCAAGATGTTGAAACGACCAATCTTATCCGCAATCATACCCGGCAATATTCTGCCAAAAACGGAGGTAGCATTAAGGATTGACAAAAGGTAAGATGAAAGCTGTGAGTCCATACCATACGACTGGGCATATTGCGGAAGATAGAAAAATGGGGTGAAAAGTCCCCACATCATAAAGGAGATACCAAGTGTGACGAGAGTGTAAGGAGCGCGAGTGAAGGCTGCCGGCAAGAGAATTTTGCCATGACGAGGAGGAAGTCGCTCTTTGACAGTGACCATTGCTATCAATACCATGAACAAGATGATGAACCCTACAATTCGGACGGACCATCCGAACCCTAGGGATTCATTTCTCAGCATCTTGCTCAAGGCAATGGGAAATATCACTCCCCCGATGGAAGATCCAGAGACTGTTACACCAAGGGCTGCAGCACGTCGATTGTGAAAGTAGTGGCTCACACATGTCATGACGGGGGCGAATAACATGCCAGAAGCAATCCCACCCAGGACCCCTTGGGCAAGCATGAATTGATAATACTTTTTACATAAAGATGTCATCATGACTGACAGCACGATGGCAATCGCAGGTATATGGATAATCTAACATGAAGAGTATAATCAGTGAATGATTGTTGCTAACAGACATTTCAAACCCTTACCGAAGCGCCATATCGATCGAACAATGGCCCGCCAATAAGGCTACCAGAGAAGAGAAAACAGACTTGCACAGACCCAATCCAAGAAATACTGGATGAAGTTTCGTTGGAGAGGAAGTGCTCGGTGTAGTAATCCTGGTAGACTCTGTATCATGCATCAGTTAAACTGTCTTGTCAAAATAGAGTTGAGGAGTATAGAGCTACCCAAAAGCGTTCATGTATCCAAATGTTGAGAACGACACACAGAATGCCCCTAAAACCACCATCCAAGCTCGAGTGCCACCCTCTGGGAATTCTGTTGGCTTTTCAAGTTCGAGTCGATCAGGCCCTCCGGGGCTGTTGGGCATAGCCCGGCCAGTTGATACTTGCGAGGTAGACATTCCGAGAGTTGATGGAGAATATAGAATAATAATATCTTCCGAGCGAGACATGGAGTCTAAGTTTCAATCGCAGTTCTCTTGAAAAACATTATTTATATCCAAATTTGCTCGGACTATTCGCTCAATCCACGCGCGAAAAAGCCGAGCCTCTCTCGGCTTTTTCATTTTTATGTGGATGCATTAGAAGCGAGTATAGAAAACAGGAACCTGTATGATAGTTCAAATGTTATTTAACCAAAGTCACTCTACCTAAGTACATAACTTTAGAAGTATATAAAGATGCCCAATACAGGATAGTAGAGCGAGACACATATGGCAGTAGCAACGAGCTGTCCCTTCCGCTTCAAAAGTCCGAACCCCTCCATCCTCATTGTTTAACTTATTCTTAACATATTCTTGACTCATCTGTATCATGAATTCCAAGATTGAACCCCTATACTACATTGGGGTTACAATTTAACGCAATGACGGTCTTCATTGCGTCTTTGTGGGTTCTTTCCTCGCCTACAAAACTCCACAGGTCTGACATAGCATGTACCAGGTTCCTCCCATATACCATCGATTTCCAGGTGACGGAGCCCAAGAATGGACATCACGGATCCTTGTCTAGCCATGCAAATCTCGATGGTCCTGGATCTATCGTTGGGCGCCTATCGGATACCTATTTTCTAACTCGTCCCATTGGCTGTCTCCCACTGACACCTGGAGCCACGACAGAAGACGAGACGGTCTTCAAAGGATATACTTGGCGGTTAGCAGATGAGATTCCGATTGCCAATGACCGATTATGGCACGGCCCCAGCGAGCCCCGTGCCATTCACTGGGGACACAGCCGGAGGTTTAATCAGCCTTTGTCCAAGGCGACAGATCCTCCAACACCGTCCATTTCGACGAGAAGGGACTTGTCATTGGATGGATCACAGGATAGATGGGACATGAAATACTACAATAACACACGAGCCTCGCTCTCCAATGCTAACTGGGTCGTCAAGGCCGCCGAACAAGGGCATGGAGGTCTACAAAATGCCATACACGCTGCTGAAAAGTCCAACTTGCTCAAGGACAAGACTTGGGTGGGAACTCTGGGCATGCCTACCGACTCATTGACAGACCCCACCAGGGCGGACATTGCCGAGACCCTCCAGGATGTGTATGATTCGTTGACTGTGTTTGTGAGTGACGACGAGTTTGAGGGTCATTACACCAATTTCTGTCGCGCGGTACTTTGGCCAGCCCTCCATTATCAGATGCAAGAAAGCCCTCGACATACTGAGTACGACGGCTACTCTTGGGTCCAATACCTCAAGCTCAACAAGGCATTTGCAGAAACAATCATCAAGTACTGGAAGCCGGGTGATAGAATATGGGTTCACGACTATCATCTTCTGGTTCTTCCTGGTCTTCTGAGGGAAAGGTTACCCCAGGCCGAGATTGGATTTTTCTTGCATACCCCATTTCCTTCCTCCGAAATCTTCCGTTGTTTGACTCCACGCGAAGAACTGTTGGATGGGCTTCTCGGCGCTGATTTAATCGGATTTCAGACAGAGGAATACTGCAACCACTTCCTTCACTCCTGCAGCCGGCTGAGGAGACTAGAGGTCTCTGCCAATCAAGTTCACCTCAATGATCGGTACGTTAGTCTTATGAATTCTCCATTGGGGATTGACCCCATGTCACTCTACATATTACGCCAATCCACCGAGGTCAAGGGTTGGATACACAGCATCGGCCATAAATATCAAGGGAAACATCTTATTGTAGCGCGGGATCGACTGGATGCGCCCGGAGGGATTAAGCAGAAGCTTCTGGCATATGAACTTTTTCTCAAGACCTATCCAGAATGGAGAGAGCAAGTAAGTCGACTAGCTTATCTTATTGGGTGTGGCCACTACTGATTTGTTTTCTATATAGGTGGTTCTAGTCCAAGTAATGTCGTCTGCATCTGAGATCCCAGAGCTAGAGGTACAGATCTCAAAAATCGCAATGAGGATAAATGCAACATATTCAACCATCACTCATCAGCCCTTGGCCCTGGTCCGGCAGGACATCAGTCACTTTCAATTCATCGCCCTCTTAAGTGTTGCACATATCTTCATGGCCACCAATCTGCGTGAGGGGATGAACTTGACCAGCCATGATTTCATCCATTGTCAAGATGGACAACTTGTCTCCCAGAAACATGGATCCCTGATCCTCAGTGAGTTCGTGGGTAGTGCCTCCATCTTTCGTGGCCATAAGCTTCTCGTCAATCCGTGGGACTACCAACAATGTGCCGATGCAATCAAATCCGCACTCGAGATGACACCGGCGGAGCGGGAACTTGACTGGAATTTTCTTTTCAAGTGCAAATCCCCCTATACTTCTCTCAAATGGTATATGGGGCTACAAGATGCTCTCACAAAAGCCCATGAAATACAACAAATCCATCAGACAAACCACCTCTCTCCGCTTTCACCTAATGACTTGAAAAGGTCATACCTCGCCGCCAGAGCACGAATGTTCTTTTTAGAAGACGGCGCGATCTTCGGCCCAGCTTTCGGCACAGAAGAGTCTCTTCCCTCAAACGAAGCATGCGCAACTCTACAAACACTCATAGACGACCCCAATAACATCATATACATAATCAGTAACCGGAGCACCAAACAGCTCCAAGACGCACTCGAAAAACTCCCCCGGAAGCTCGGTTTTATTGTCGAGAAGGGATGTTTCCTTCAAGAACACGAAACGGATCTATGGATTCCATTTGTGCCTAAAAACGCCATGAAATGGCGTCCCGGTATCAGAAAGATGATGGAGTATTTCCATGAGCGAACAGAAGGTAGCCGAATCGAGGAACGCCGCTGCTCCCTAACATTTCACTACGATGGCACGCTCGACCGCGAAGTAGCCGCTCGCCAGGCCTCTGAGCTAGCCGATCAAATCAACGGTGCACGCGGGCGCGCAGATTACCATGTCGTCCGCGAGGCAACATTTGTGAGGGTTGAACCACCACACGCTGCCCTTGGAAATAGGAGAGTGGCTACCTATATTCTAGACCATCTCCCTAATATCAAATATCCCGAGTTTCTATTCGCAGCTAGTGGTTCTCGTAGTAGTGAGGTGCTGTTTCGATGGGCAAATGAGTTGGCCGTTGCCCCTGTTGCTTCTCGCTTTGATAAATCTGAACTTGGGAAAACGCTCCACGTCACCACCGTGACGACTAGCACGCATGCTACTGAGGCGAGGTCGGTGTTGCCGCCTGATTGCTCGCTTTTGGATATTTTGGGTGAATTGTCGAGTTTCACGTCCAATGAGGAGGAGACTAAATGACTTACTCAGTTTGTTGTGATTGGGTACTATTGTTATTGTCATGCCGGCTGTTGTCACTCCTGTATGATGGAAGACGGATCACGAAGCGATATGACTTATGCTATAGTTTTGTTCGATATTCAAGTGGATCGAGGGACAAGAGACGTGCAGTATAGTTTCCAATGGTGAAATGACTGATACATTCATTCTAAAGTCTCATTTTTTTAGTATTGCGCATTGCGCTAGATTCTTTGTAGTGCGGGCTTTTTGTATTCCGAGAGCGTCGGTTTAGATGACCTCCCTAATCGTCTACTTAGAAGGTAAAAGATAGTACATTTTAATTCTTTATTCTCATGCCATAATACATGCATAGATCAAAAGGACCAGCAAAACATGAGTGAGAAGGTAGATCAGCTCTCACAACTCCATCCACCATAAACCCCGATTGTTGAAAAAAATCAAAGACAAAAATGGTGCAAATACAGAACATAAAATACGATGAGGATATAGCATGAGCAATGACGAGAGAGAAAAAAAAAACATGAATCATAAGAAGCGGCAGCTGGCAAAGCAAATTTTTCATTTCATGCCTTGCATGCCAAGGTCGAGAAAGGGTTCAACAGACCAAAGTCTCCACATAATCTCAACCTAGGGCTTGCTGTCCTTTGAGGATGAAGCTCCATCAGTACCTGCCGAGATCAGAGTGGGCGCCACACGGCGTCTCTTTGGCGGCTGCTGCGATGCATTATTTGGATCCCCCTTGCCTTCTTCTTTTTCAGACTCACTTGCCAGTCTTGCGTCGCGCTTGCCCAGAACACTACTACCAGACCCATTCTGTGGAGCGCCTGAGACGGGCGTTTGTGGTGGGGTTGTGAGTGGAAGGGTTGGCGGCTGCGCAGAATGGGTCGCTGTCACCGATGGAACAGTTCCGAGTGTCGGAGTAGGATTGTTTACAACTCCTGCAGGGGTCGGTTGTATGGAAGGCTGCGTCGCGACTGAGCAGGCTGAATTGGACCGCGCAGGGCTAGCTGGTGGTGCAGGACCTGTGCTGTTTGAGGATGCATGGTTCGTCTTGACTGGAGGTGGTACATGTGGAGACGCCGAATGCGTTGGTGTCAGCAGAGGTGTGAGATTTGTCGCAGGGGTGGTTGGGTTTGCAGTGTTGTGAGTCACAGAGGTTGGTCCTGTGTATGTTTGACCTAACTCTCCAGGTGCGAATGAGAGTGTAGAACAGAAGCCATCAGAGGAACTCATGATCAATGTTAACCCATCGGCGGACCTGCTATACGTTAGAAACAAAAGCATGGGTGAGAATATAACCAGTACTTACCAGGTCAAGTCGGTGAAAGTAGCAAAATGCAAATTGCTAACAATGCATAGCGGAGTTTGTTGTTGCGTGTCATATACCAAAACAGCATCTTGGGTGGCAACGGCATATACAATGCGATAAGGAAGTGCAAAGACGGGCGCCGAGCTCTGGCATGCTTCATTGCCGCCGTCCTCGGTAGCCTTTTGGGGTGGCTGAGGCTTGGATGGCTCGGCCGTTGTTGATGAAGGGACTGTATGGGGTTGGCTGGTGAAAGATGCAGTTCCCGATACCACGGGGTCTGGAAGAGATGAGAACGTCTCCTCGCCCGAAGATGTGTCAAGGGTAATGTTTTTCGCAGCCTGCGTGCCCTGCTTCAATGTGTAAAAGACCGGGGAGCATTTGACGGCTACAGACGGCTTCTTGTGCCCTGGAAGATGAGAGATCGGGGGCTTGTTGAAACCAGCCCGTGTGTACACGTAAACCGTATTAATGATCTCGTCTGTCGTCTTTGTAGAATCCGTAACAGATACGTGACTGGTTTTGAATTGACCAGCTGGTGTGAACAGCAAGCTTCCATCAGGAGCAAAAGTCAGTCGCCTGAAGAAAGAAGTAAACGTCTCGTTGGCATAAATGCTGGCATTCTTGACTCCGAGGCCACCAAGACTTGGGGAGGAGACCTCCAATGGCTTAACGGCAGGCAACGGAAGAGACGGAGCAGGAGACGCGGACCGCCGGATGGAAGGAGACGAGCCGAACGAAGAACGTCGGCTATGTGAGACTGGAGGAGGATCCATGGGTAGGTTGGAAGCCATTGGAGTCCCCGGAGTCGAGGGAGCAGGCGAGGCAATAGCAATGGAATTCCCAGTATGTTGTTGAGACCGGTTAGCCACATCTGGAGGCGCAGGGCTGCTAGATGCGATACGTTTGGTAGGGAGATCCATCTTGAGGACCTTCCCGTGCGGTGTCAGTGTGAATTGACCATCCTTGGTCTTCAATGTATAAATATGAACGGACCGGTCGGACGATTGAGTCGCGACAAACTCGTTAAGCGGATCCCATGCTACACCTTGAACATAGTGAGAATGCTCGGCAATCTGTCGTACCATTTGCCCTGTGGAATTCGGTCAGCTTATCAAGCTGTATGGGAATCACTCGACGGTAACTAACCAGTTTGGGCATTGTAAATCCGTGCGATGTTGTCCATGCTACCTGTGATGATAAAAACACCATCGGGGGACCAGGCCAGGTCGTAGATCTCGGCGCCAGACGAACGACACATGTGCTTCACTCGCCAGGTCTCTTTATCGTCCGACCGATCTTCACCCAGCCCAGCTTGTGTTTGTATCTCCGATGGTACCCAGAGTAGGACATTTCCATCATCTCCGGCAGATGCCAGCATCTCACCTACGCCTGTCAGACTTGCGGCCATATGCTGTCCTGCAGAAAGACATACCTTTCGGGCTGAAACGGACCACATTGACGGCCTGTGTATGCTTAATCAGGGTGCTCAAATAAGAGACCTTTCTTTCCTCCCCGATGGACTCGACTTTCCAGAGCTGTAGAACATGTCAGATTAAGGTGTGCGAAGGGCGACGGAGGACGGTTCATACTCGGACGTTGTTGTCACTAGAGAAAAAGCAGTCAGTAAAACTGTTCAACCCTTTGAGAGCACAGATATAACCTACTTTCCAGCAGTAGCTAACCGGCCCTTGCCATTGGGATCGAAATGCACCGAGTAGATAGGGGCATTGTCATTATGCCATGAGATGAGCAACGGGGTGGCCTTCATGGCGAGCGCCGCAGCTCAGCTTGTTGAGCACCACCGGTTTTGCGTAGGAAAATATGGCCTCAAGAGACAATAGAGAATTTCCGAGTCCAATGATGCAGGTATCTTTTTCTGGCAGGTGATATCTGGGGTAGCTTTTGAATTGGAGAGGATATAGTTACTCTCAGGTAGGAAGACAGGAAGTATGATTCAAATAGGAATAAGAGAAGATAAAAAGATGCGACAGTGAGTTGAACAAGGAGTTGGAGAGAGTAAGGTTAAAGGAAGAGAGTCGTGATTCTACGATGATGCTTCGAGTTGTTTGCGCGGGAGAACGCGACCGACGATTAGATAGGCGATGACATTCTTCTTTATATCCATAAATACTATGAATACTATGACTACTATGTCATATATGAATATATATATATATGAATATTATATAGCATCTATACATCTATACATCTATATCTACTAGATTACATCAACCTGACTGTTTCTACTGAAAACATTGAACGCTCATGTTATGTTTCAATCTCTACCCGAGGTCCTCAAACTATGTTGTACCTACTACGTATACTAGCCCTAGAAGTAAGCACTAGAACCAGATAGAAAAGGGGGGAAAACAGAGAGGGACACCTAGGAATAACATTAGGGACCTCAAAGATGACACTCAAGTGTAACTATTTACTCTCTACAGAGTAGTATGCGAAAAGACCTATACAATGTAACTTCAAACAAACCCCAACGCCTCTCCGGTCGCCATTTTTCAAAGCAAAATAGTAAATACAATAATTCAGATTCCTCTACGACATCCACTTGCCGATAGTTTCTCCAAACCAGCTTACAGCTCTATCCTGTCGCTTCTGTCGAGCATCGTCTTGAGTCTTCATGAAGGGCGCAGCCTCCTGCGCATACATCTTGTGCTGTTCCTGCTGCGCATAGTGTGCCCGAATCTCCAACTCTCGCTCATGTGGCGTGAGCTTCTGTAAGGGCTTCGACGGTTTGAGCCCTTCCGGGATTGCCTCCCCTCCAGGAATCTCAAGGCCAACTTCCGGGGTTTGTGATGGCTTCTCTGGGTTGAAAAGCGATGTGAGAGGCGGTGGCTCAATTCCAGCGGCCTTTGCTTCCTCGATTCGCTTTTCGTAGTCTAGCATCTGGTGGTAGAGTTTGTCGGCATGCATCTGAATGCGCTCCTCTTTTTCGGCGTCATATTCAAAGCCGGCTGCGTAACCGAGAGCTTGAAGGAATTTCTGTTTAACGGAAACCTATTAGAATCGATATAATCGAGAAAGCGATGGGTTCCAGCGCCAACTCACAGTCTGAGTCGTAAAGCATCGCGAAAAGGTGCCATTCTGCTCCGAGCACATGGTTAGCCGGGCTTCGATCTGCTTCCGCCAATTGCCCGTCTTAAAACAGTGTGTCAAGGCTTCATGCTCCAGGGCACAGTTCTCCATTGCTGCTCGCTGCACTGTGTCGCCGCGCTCCTTGTATTTTTCAATCACTCGCGAAGCTCCGCGGACTCCCGATTCTTCGTCAAGCTCCATCGGCGGCTTGTAGGTTTTCCATAGATCAGCATAACGGCCATCTTGGTAGAGTGATGCGGCAGGAACTTTCGGTTTCGAGGTATCAGACGGTTCGGGCGATGGCGTGGGCGTCGAGGGCGGCTTCACATTGGGTCCAGGCACATATTTGTCGGGCTTCTCCTGTTCGAGATAGTCACGAAGCCCCGGATCGAGCTTTTGGACAGTATCATTTTTGTCACCCCAGAACCAACCCATTTGGAATTACTAGTTCGAGAAAGTCCAAGAAAGTGCAACAGAGTGTTGAAGGTTGAGAGCGCGGAGAAATCGGCACAAAAATGGATCGGCTCCAATCGCCTTGGCTCCGACCGCTCCTCTTTACTCCTCAACCACCAACACGACGCGTCTTTTTCGACGCCGTTCCTCCAAAATGGAAGCCTGTATGTGTTGTGGTGCTGTGTTTATATATGTGTGGAATTGCTAACAATTGACAGCGCGAGAGGAGCGGCAGCAAATGCGGCAGCGTGGAGCTGGGTACGCGCCTTACCTATACCCCGCGAAACCATAACATACAAACTGACTTGCTGGTATAGGACGCGCAAAGCAAAAGAAGTCGATTTTGGGTTCTCTTTTGGTAGCCCAGCTCTGGGATTACCAGCGCCCGCACCGATTGCGACTGTCCCTGAAGCTCAGATGCCACTGCAAACCCAGACCGCGCCGAACACAACACCACGATCGCTGAAGATATCGCAACCAGGATCACAAGCTCGGGTGATTGAGCGCACACCGGGAAGTGCGCGCAACAAGCTCCCAGAACGGCCCTCGACCTATGAAATACCCTCCTCGGACGATAGATCTGAACAAATACGAAGCAATAAGAGGAGAAAGATCAGTATGTTATGGACTAGGCCGGTGTGCTATGCCAGAAATGCATGCTAATACTCCTTCAGATCCTCCCAATGAAACAGAATACACTCCTTCTCGTCGCAATGGCGGGCGACCTAATAATGGCGATACACACCCCGTCGATGACAGTCGAGGTAGCACAGACTCTCAAACAAGCCACACCCAGGAACCTCCAAGTACAGATGCACCTCCTCCATCAGAAATAAACAACAATGAATCCCCGCAGCTTCAAATCTCACCCATTCCGGAGACCGCAGTCGAAGATCAACATCCGATAGAAGAGGGGACCAATGGCGTGGAACCAACAACGTCAGCCGCCGAAAAGCAACAAGCCCAAGCCGCATCACCAGTGTCTGGCCCTACGGCGCCTGTAGTAGCTGAAGAATCGCAAGCGTCAATTTCAGCACCTGAAGCTCAGACCGGGGTCGAACAGCCTAAAAACACAGAGCAACTACGTGTGAAACGACATAGCACTCGGTCACCACCACGGCATGAGGAGCAAATCCAAAGAACCAGCAACAGTCAACAAGCTACTACAGAAACTGCTTCTCCGGCTGCTGGGACAGATAAATCTACCACAGAAGCCTTATCACCACGTGGTAGCTCCACCGAGGCTCTTGCAGCTAGCGGTGCGCCGACTATTGATAATGATGTCGACATGACTGAGGATGTTCCACCATCCAAAGACGATACACCAGAGCAAGACAGTCAGACATCTCAGGGGCCTTCCACAAAGACGAAAAAGGCTAGGGGTCGTCCGCGGCATCAACCTACCACAAACAACACTCCAGAACCGAATGCGGAAGCCGCTGCAAAGGAACCTGCAGCCGAGGCGCAGGATGAATCTGCTACAGCCCCAGTTGAGGAAGCCCCAAAGACCAAACGGCCTCGTGTGAAACCCTCGATTAACAAGAATGCCATTGAAGTCATCGAGACTGAGAAGGTTTTACCTGAATCTATACCAGATGTCGCGGAGTCCTCTTCGGGGCCACGTCGGGGTCGCAAGCCAATATCACAAAAGGATACCCAACCACAGCCTGTGGTGGAATCTGCAATGCCCAAACCACAACGTGGCAGACCTAGCAAGAAAACGAAAGAAGCAGTGGAGCCTGAACTTGAGTCTGAGCCTGTGGCAGCAGACCAGACAGCAGACCAGGCAGAACTAGACACAGAATCTTCGGGACCCAGGTTTCGTGGTAGACCTGGGAAAAAAGCCAAACGCGCAACCGAAACTGACCCTGAACCCGAACCCGAACCTGAGCCTACGACAGCAGACCAGCCGGAGCCTGAAGCAGAATTTGCAGTACCCAAGACTCAACGTGGTAGGCCCGCAAAAAAGACGAAGCGCGCAGTGGAGCCTGCACCTGAACCCGAGCCTGAGCCTGAGCCTGTCACGGAAGACCAGCCGGAGCCTGAAGCAGAATCTGCTGCACCCAAGTCCCAGCGCGGCAGACTAGGGAAGAAGGCTAAGCGCGCAGTGGAGCCCGAGCCTGAACCCGAGACAGAATATCAACCCGATCCTGAGTCTACACAAGAACAGCCTCGTCGCAAGACTAGGGAGCCTCGTGGGGAAACGGTCCCGGTCACTGTTTACCGTCTCACAAATATAAATTCTCTAGGCGGCACAACATCTACGGCCAATGGGTCAGGAGATGAAGAAGAATCCGCCGATGAACTCACCACGCACCAGAAGGCCAAGATTCCCAACCGCGGCGGTGTCAACCCAGCCGATGTATTGAGCCAGATCTGCCGCGAGACTCTGGAGAAAACACTCAATACGCTCAAGGATGGGATTTCGAACGAGGCGAATGCTACGCGACGCGCAGAGTGGTCGCGGAAGCGAAAAGCCGTTGAAGTATTCGGCTCGGAGCTTGAGAGCCGTCTCATGGACCTAAGCGGGATCCTCGATAGCAATTTTGTGCTTGGCGTGCAATTGAAGAAGACTAAACGGGAGATGATGGATCTACGGAATCATCTATACCGGGTCCGTCGAGAACGTGAGAACATAGCCTTGCAAATGGATGCAGTGCGCAGCAGACATATTGAAGAGGAGAAGGCCAAAGTGGTGAGACCTTTCCCTAACTAAAATCCCTGGCGAAAACATTACTAACAATAAGTCTCTAGTCACGTTCCACGATCAGCAATTCCCTCCACAGCCTTGAATTGGCCCTCGATCGTAACAAGCGACGCTCTGCTTCCACTGCGGATTCTTCTACGGATATTGAATACATGCTTCGCACTGTTGCCGACGTGAGTTCCCGAGCCCCCTGGAGCACAAGGCGGTCTCTTGAACCAAATCCGGACGTTCAATGCACAGCTCGAAGCTACTTTAGGTCGCCTAGAGCGATGATGTCTTTTTTCTTTTTTCTTTTTTGTTCTGCGTTCTTCTACAGTCCATTATGATACCAGGAAATCGTGTTTGTGCAATGATTATAGTCCATGGCTGGGCCAGAGGATGGGCGTTTGGCGATATTTTTCACCTGTACAAGTCCCCGATGTGTTCAAGTACATAGGTAGCGTTTACATGTTACTTTCAGCTGCCATCGAATGTCAAAGAAACGTCAAATCTCCAATTTATGACGATCTGCTATTCTCCGTTGTACACAGAGGTAAATAATAGTTACTTCCCTGCATAAATCGCGCTGTGTATTATTAATTCTCCCGAGTCCCCGAGCCCAGGGCTATAGTGGGCCGACTGGCAGCAAATCACATCTCCGGGACCGTAGCGACTTTCGAGACCATGGGAAATCTCATGTTCCAAGGCTTTATAACCGGAAACCGGCTTAACTCCATTTCTTTCTATCTCCACATTGCTTGTTAATCCAAATGGAGGATCTTGGAAGTTCTGCGAAGCGAGATACTACGATCAGATACAAGATATAAAATCATGTCCATCCACTCCAAATGTACTCTGTTCTATAAAAAAAAACCCCCCCAACCGAACAATCTACTACCATTTACAATATATATATATATATATCAAATATCAAATATCAACCAATACCAAGACCAAGAACAAAAATGACAAAACTCTTCACCCCCCTCCGCGTCGGCCGCGTCGAGCTCTCCAACCGCATCGCAATGGCACCCATGACCCGCTTCCGTGCCGACGATAGCCACACCCCCCTCCCCATCGTGAAAGAATACTACGCCCAACGCGCCTCAGTTCCAGGCACCCTCCTCATAAGCGAAGCAACCTCCATCACCGCCCGCGCCGGTGGCTACCCCAACGCACCGGGCATCTACAACGATGCGCAGATCGCCGCATGGAAGGAAGTAACCGACGCCGTGCACGCCAAGGGCAGCTACATCTACCTCCAGCTGTGGGCATTGGGCCGCGTGGCAAGCCGAGAACTCCTGAAAGCCGAAGGCGGCTTCGATCTCATCTCGAGTAGCGCGACGGCGATGGACGCAAAGTCTCCTACGCCACGCGCGCTATCTGAGGCTGAGATCCAGGAGTGGATTGCGGACTATGCGCAGGCGGCGCGGAATGCCATTGCGGCTGGGTTTGATGGTGTTGAGATCCACGCTGCGAATGGGTATTTGATTGATCAGTTTATTCAGGATACCTGTAATAAGCGTGAGGATGCGTGGGGTGGGAGTGTTGAGAAGAGGGGGAGGTTTGCGGTTGAGGTTGCGCGTGCTGTTGTTGAGGCTGTTGGTGCGGACCGCACTGGCATTCGGTTTAGTCCTTGGAGTACGTTCCAGGGGATGAAGATGGAGGATCCGAAGCCGCAGTTTGGGTATTTGGCGAAGCAGATGGCTGGGTTGGGACTTGCGTATACGCATTTGGTTGAGTCAAGCATTGCGGGGAATGCTGATGTTGAGGCGACGGAGAAGTTGGATTTCTTCCTTCACGCTTATGGGAATGCTTCACCGGTCATTGTTGCTGGTGGGTATGTGGCTGAGTCGGCGGTTCAGGCGGCGGATGTCAAGTATGCGGACTATGATGCTATTGTTGGTATTGGACGTCCGTTTATTTCAAACCCTGACTTGCCGTTCCGTGTTCAGAAGGGCATTCCGTTTGTCCCTTTTGACGCTGCCTTTTTCTATAACGCCAAGGACCCCAAGGGATACACCGATTATCCGTTCAGTGCTGAGTTCCAGAAGACTATTGAGGCTGTGGCTTGATTTGGATTGATTTTGATACCATGAGTTGCTTAGCGAATGTTTGTATAGATCATTAGATGTATATATAGCTATACTTGGAATAGAAGTTAGCATATATGAATAATTCGGTGCTTAGACTTGATTTTCGTAAGTTCATTCCAGGCTGTGCTGGTGCTGAGATACCAGATACTAGATTCCGATTCCATGCGACCCATACAACAATATGTTGCACTCCTTCGTTGGGAGTGACTAAGGAATCAGCGATGAGGATCATTTCACACGTGACTTTGGACCCTGTTCAAAAGAGGTCAGATAGAAAAGCGGGGGAAAATCCGATATAGCCGGTGCATATGTATCGCAGCAGTCGGTACATAGTTGTATCAAAGCCAGCCTGTAAATGATTCCCCCGCATTACCAAAAACGTGGGTTGCACCGACTTGGCACGGAGACCAAGAATCTTGGAAAAGCCGAAAGAGAAAGTTCCGCTCCGCCGAGCCGAAAATCTACACAGCCGAGGGTAAACCGAAAACAGGAACCATGGATTGTATATTGTGTATTGGGGTATGTATTGGTTTTTGTGGGGGATCAGATGAGCAGAATGTGGGGGAAAAAGAAGAATGCCAATTCGCCAAGTGTAATAATTGCTAAAATCATATGTTCTTTTAAAGGTTCGTATTCGGCATATTCTAAGCTCGCATGACGATGCATGATGCTCTTTGTGTGTACGATCGCCCAAGGCTGAGAAATATATCCCCGCATCGTGTTGCCGTATTGAGCAGGGAGCAACGCCAAGTTTTTAGGATATATAGTACTATTCGTATCTCAAATTGGAGCAAGGGAGTATATGTAGGTCTAATTAGGTCTAATTGGTATAATTAATATATTTGAATATATTTGGTATAGAGTGTCTCCATGCTACCTAGGTAACAATTATTGATTATTGATCTGTGCATGATACTAGATCAGTATGATTGGTCAATATATAAAATGTGCATGAATTATGAACGGTCATCATACCTATTAGGTATCCATGTCTGTATGGTGCCACTTTCAACAGAAGCAGAGTTTGCGCTCGGATCAGGTCTGGATCGCAAAATTGAATCAAAATACTTAATTAACAATCATTGTTTCATATTAGATTGCTTTTTTTCCCCCATACATCCATGTCTGTCCTATGCATGTCTCATGGACAACAACAGGCTAAATTGATATCCATGAAGATAAACTATAAACTCTCAAAGGGGGAAGTTAAAGGGCCACCTAACCAAGAGGATTGGCATAATATTTCAGACCCGAAAGGTAATCTGTGGCGTATATGTGTTGTTTATTATTGTTACTTGGCAAACGCCACAAATCCAAGCTATTGCCCAGAGATTTCGCTTACAAACTGGAGAGAATCCTTCGGCTTTATAGAGGGCTACACACCGAGAGCTTAGCAAGACCTCGATTATCGCACTGCCTGAGTGGAACCCATTATTGCCGTATATGATGTACGGAGTACATGCCGTCTACGGGTCCTTAATGGGATCTTGCATGAGATTATTATTCCCAAGCAAAGAACCCTGTCGCCGTTTCTGCTGCAATACGACCTTGTTGCCACGACATCAACAGACCTGAAAAAAAGAACCCTGGTTAAACTGTATACATTAGTCTGCATTGGAACGGGGAAATCTCTGTCCCGGGCCGAATCTCAAGCCAATACGGAACCTCCGTACGGAGTAAGGACAAAATGACTGGAACAGAGACGTTCACAGAAATCCAAGGGTTCCACCGTGTCAGTCATTAGCGTTAGCCGTAAATCCTATCGCAGAGCCACATGTGGAGATGAAGCTTGACAAGTTTCCATCTCTAGGGCTTTTTACGAGAGAAAAAATAAAAATAAAAATAAGGAAGAGTAAAACAGGTCCGAGCCTGGTGTGCGCCGATCTAGGTTCCCCCCGGACTGATGGCCCATTCGAGAGAACACGGCACGTCTAGTCAAGCTGGTTCGCGGCTGTGCACTGTCGATGTCAACCTCTTTCTTTGCACGTCAACCTGAATATGGTATTCGTCCCGTTTCCCCGAGACTTGAAACAACGGGTACGAAGTAGTCCGTACAATGCACAGACTTGGACCTGGACAACGGTCTCCATGCGGTGTCTGGTACTCCGTACTCCGTACACCGTACATCCGTGGCTAGTGGGTAATGTGTGTTATAGGTGCATTGTTAGTGGTGTATCCGTGCTTCGTATCCGGTCTGAAAAAAGGGGCAAAGGGGGTATATTTGGGGCGAGACATACGCTAAGTGGGGGGAAAATGAATATCACAGAGAGAGAAAAAGAAAATAACAATAACAATAAATATTAGGTACAAGTACTCCGTACATAATACATCAGATGTTCTGTAATTCATGCACAGTGAAATGGGAATTTGATCTCATGATGAATTCATTGGTGCGTAATCATGTCCGGATATATTAGCCTAAACTCAGAGTCTATAATCTTATATACCGTACTTTCTCCCACCTCGGAGTGAATTTTGTGTAGAATAATGATTGAATGATTTCATAATCCGTCACATTGACCCCGGGCAACAAGTGGTATGTTCAGGCAAAAAAAAGCATTCCACCGTTAGACCGAGGTCGTGACGCAGTCTCGGCTAGGGGTACTTGGTACCGGGAGTGACCACCGAAGATGCCGGTCCCAACAAGTCTCTTCTTACTTGAAAAGCATTGTTTGCTTTTAGTGCAATGGTCAAAGTACTGTACATATGTACTCCGTACTCCGTACATCGTGCATAGCCATAGTACATATGTAGTTCAATACCCTGTGCGGAATAAAGTGGACTCTACTGGATGATCATGGAAATCTTATTGTCTCCTAAACAGAGTCTAGTAAATTTCCGTCCGGGCGACACTGTCCATGGGACTGACCTAGAAAGACCCATAGATGAAATGATGCAACTGATTATGAGCTTATAGGTTGTACATAGATTGTACTCTGTACATGCCTCATAGAAGTCGAATTATGCAGTAAAGTAAAGTAAGTTAAGTAAAGTTAAGTAATTTAAGCAAGTTAACCTAATTCCCCCAAAAGATGATGATTATTCTCCAAGTGTTTACCAATCATATTGTTCCCCGGATCGTTTCTGGACTCTCCACTTTCTTCCCCAGGCTTAGGTCCTTTCCCTTCATCCTTGCCTGCCAATTAACCAAGTGAACGGTCCTCTCCCCCATTCCTCCGTGCCGTCCCTGGCTTGACA